CTAAACTACATAGTGAGACCCTGTTTAAAAAAAGAATGTATGTACATGAAAAAGATGAATGTGGTTGCCCCAGCCAATGGTGGGGTGCAGTAATGCTACTCCAACATGTGACATTTGGCAACTGAGAAAATGCCAGAAGCAGAGAAGTTGCTCTGACTTTCTCCTTCCATTTCTCCAATGAAGCAGGATGTAGAAATTAGAATTCTCTTGGCTCTTGTTTCTCTGAAGCGGGTCACAAAACCTAAAAATATCACCCTGACCTTCTCTTCTCCACTAAAGATAGGTATCAGATGATCTGTCTCTGGTAGCACCAGGGAAGAAATGTCATACAAAAATCCAGAAAAGAAACTGAGCGCGCCGGTCTTGCTAAATTCTCCTCATTCCACCTCCTTCCTTCATGCTCTTTTGTAGATAACAAACATCTTCCTGTCCCTTTGAATTTTATTAATATCTGAAAGTTCCAGGGTCATGTAAAACTGATAAAAAATAAATTTGCCTGATTTTCTCCTGTTAATATGTCTTTTGCTGTAGGGCTCTCAGTGGCCTAATGAATCTAATGATGAATGAGGAAAGAAACCCTTTACCCCTCACATCCACAGAGGAGTAGGCCTCTGGGGAGACATTTCCACTTAATCTTCCACGCAGTTTCCTTTCTGTTGTGTCTTTTCCCCTTGAAAAGTCAAAATGATTTCTCCTTTCATGTCCTAAGATAGGAGGGATTAATACTTTTTCTTCTTTTCCAATAGAGATCAATAAATCCCTCTCCAAGGCAACCATAGTGTTAGTTTTTTTTATTCTAAAGAGAATTTTAAAACACAATAAAAATGATACATAGTTTCAAAACAAGATGATAGGAAATTAACAATGGTTATTACATTGCAAGTGTTAAAACTATTTTGTAGCAGCTGAGTTGAATACAAATAAATATATAGTTGGAGGCACTAGGCTCTCAAGGAAGTCAGCATAAAATATGAAGATTTCACAATTGTTGCTGGGACCCCTCTGAAGGAGGCCTGGCTTCAAGATAAAGATGCAATGGCCAGGCCTACATGCCTCCTTGATGGATAAACAGTAACTTGAGATTATACTGTAATTAGCACTACCTGGTCCAGTAAGTCCAGCTAAGCACCATTCACCCAGGTGGATGAGCAGAGCATCTGGACCCAGCCCTTCCCGAACTTGTCTTTGTTCCTTCCATGTAGCCTTACTATGTGACCTGTTTCCCTGGTAGATCAACATTAGCTAACTGGCTATACTTACAGTCCTACAGGTTGACTGTAGTTTGACTCACAGCGTATCCACACTGTGACTTTGCTTTTCTTGGGACCCCTCTAGGAAATCCATGAGCTATTCTTCCTTTATTTCCAATAAAACTCCCTTAACTTCTTTGTTTGGTTTGCAACGTCATTCTTCAGTTCTGTGGGACCACAAACTCAGCATATTTGACATCTAACATGTTGGGAATTATATTTCTCCTATATCAACATGACTTTTGTTTTTTTTTTTAATTTTTTTTTTATCAGTACCAGGGATCGAACTCACAACTGCCTGCTTGCAAGGCAGGCGCTTATGCTGCTGAGCTAAATCCCCAGCCCCATTTTTGCTTTTTTGAGATAGGGTCTCACTAGGTAATAGATCTTGGCCTAGGATTTACAATCTTTTTGCCTCAGCTTCCCAAATGCTAGGATTGTAAGTGTGTATCAGCATCGTTGGCTTAATATGACATTTTCAGTATATTTAAGTGCAAAAGTGTGAGAGAAATAGCATTCTACTTCTATGAAGCACTTACTTTATATCTTAAACTTACTTTGCTAAGAGTATGCAAAATCATTTTGGAAACTCGATAGGGAGTTGAGATATTTCTGAAGCCTGTTAATGTTACCTCTATTTATATGTTATTACCAAAATAACTATGTAAGCATTTGAAAACAAAACTTAGATGCAAGAAATGGAAATAACCTCGTATTTTTCATGATATATAGATGTCTCTTTAAAACTCAACATTTAAGGCCATTCTTGGTGCCAAGGGTTTGTAATCCCAATATTCAGGGAGCTGAGGCAAGACAATCACTGTGAGTTCCAAGCCAAGTTATGCTACTGAGTTCAATGTCAGTCTGAACTACATCGTTTTCTTGTCTCAAAACAAGAAAACAGATAAGCAACATTTGAAAAATGTCTTTGAATTCTGATGTTCAACAGATGTATGAACGTTCTTTCAAGAAAAAAAGAGGGGATCGAACATGGTGGTGCATACCTGTAACCCCAGCATTTGTGAGGTTGAGGTAGGAAGATTCCTGTACTTTGAGGCCAGCCTGGGCTACATAGTGGGCTCCCACACAGGGAGACCCTGACTCATGAAAGCAAAGCGAAATGAAAGGGAGGGTGGTTGTCAGGGGTGTAGAGTGTTTGCTGAGCATGTATAGGCCCTGAATTCAATCTCCACCACTAAAGAAAAGAAACAGAAACACATGTTGCTGATAGAATCTTGAGTTAATTTCATTTGAGAAGCCAAATGTATATGAAAATAAAATACATTTAACGTGCAACAATTTCCTATACTAGTCAAGGTGCTGGCCACTAATTTAAAGGAATCCTTATCAATGATAAGAAGTATAAATATTCTACATACTTAGCCATACCTTCAATTCTGTATACGGAACTGGGAAGTGAATCCAGGGCCTTGTGCCCACTAGACAAGTGCTCTAGCATCCTTAATCCTTTTAATTTTTAAATTTTTAAGACAACCTTATTAAATTTCTAGCGTGGCCTCAAACTTGCCATCCTTCTGCCTCAGCCTCTTAAAATGTCTTTGGTGCAACCATTTTATTTATTTATTTTTATTTTTTATTTTAAAGAGGGTAAAACTAAACAGAACAAAGAAGATCAGAATAAAACAATGTAAGTGACACAGATTTCAAAGCAAGACAACAGGAGATCTACAGTGGCTACCACAAAGTCTCTTGTTTTGTATCAGTTCATTGTGAGTGATGAAGGCATTACAGGCCTTCAAAACTAGACAATAGGAAAATCAACAATGGCTGCCACAATGTCTCTTGTTCTCTTCAAAATAGCTGTTGAAATTAAACAATACAAAACAGACTAAAATCACTCTGAAAAAAGAATAAAAGCATTGCTGGATTTCACAGAATGACGATGTGGAATCAGCAGTGGATACCATAATGTCTCCTTTTCTTCAAAGTAGCTGTTCATATCATCATGCATAAAATAATTGGTTCTTATAAACTGTTTAGGAGAAGTTCCATGCATGTATAAGCCCCTACATGTATACTTATCATTTCTATATTAGAGGAAAAAACAAAACAAAACAAATTACTGGAAAAACACAAAACAAAAAAGACAAATAATAACAATAGCAAAGAGCCCAAACAATGACGATATAGGCCTTCAAAACAAGGTGGTAGGAATATCACTAGGGTTGTTATTTTACATAATGATCTTCAAGAGTTCCTCAGATCACCAGACACTAACATGCAAAATTGTTCAAATCCTATGAATGCTGTTTTGTTCCAAGAACTTATAGAATTTGTAACATAATCATCTTAGCTATCCTAAGTGTGTTTATATAATTTTAGATATTTTTTCTTTTCCCTTCCTTTTTCTTTTTCCTCCTTTTCCCTGAATTATTTTTTTTCCCTTTGAGCAGATTCTTTGTTTTTTTTGGTACTAGGGATTGAACTTGCAACCTGACACTTGCCAGGCCGGTGCTTATGCTGCTGAGCTGAGCTAAATCCCCGACCCCCTTGAGCAGATTCTTATCCTTTCACTGTATTTATTGAGGCTTTTGTATCTTATGTACTCTTACCATTTCTTACACTAGGGAGACAATACAGTATTTACACATGTAAGTTTGATTTATTTCACTTATGAGTATGTGTGCAACCATTTTAAATGCTGATTTTTAGGAGTCATTCTAACGGGAGATCTAAAATCCAAACAATAGCTACATTATCTTTTGAATGTGCATGGAACAATAAATATTGTTATGAAACTAAAGAATACATTAAATGATAAATAAAAACAAATTTGGAGTCACCCAGATCTAGCATTCTAAAGATGACATAATATGGCTGAATTGTGCCTTCTCCACGTGTCTATGTTGAAGGTCCTAATTTTAGTTCCTCAGAATTTGATTGTAGTTGGAAATAGGCATTTAAAGAAGTGGCTAAGGTAATTTAAGATCATATTTTTGCACTTTAATCCGGGAAATGCATGTGTTTGTAGGAAGATACAAGACACAGACACATGCAGATCATGTGAGAACACAGAGGAAAAGGATCCTCTACAAGCCAAGGAAAAGGCCTTGGAACAATGTGGTAAGCCTAAGGCACATATACCACAGCAGGTTGTCTGGGTTTTCTTCCTGCTTTGCTTTGGGTTTGAGTTTTGTTTTCTGAGACAGGGCTAACTTCATAATGCAGGCTGGCTTTGAACTCACACAAACCTCCTATCTCTGTGTCCTGATTGCTGGGATTACAGGCCTGTGCCACCATGCTTGACTGTGTGTTACAACTGAAAGCTGTGGAAGGTTCTCCATTACTGCCTTAGAGTATATCAAGACTGTTAACACCTTTATCTTGAACTTCTAGCCTCCAGAATATGGGAAAACAAATTCTTTATGTAAACTGTGGTCAATAGTTATGGTAACCCAAGAAATATACATACATACATACATACATATATATATATATATATATATATATATAATTTTTTTTTTTGAGACAGGGTCTCATTTTGTAGCTCAGGCTGGCCTTCAATTCACTATGTAGCCTGGGCTAACAAACTTGCAGCAATCCTCCTGCCTCAGCCTCTGAAGTGCAAGGATTAGTATTAGCTGTTTTTGATATTTTCAATTTTTATTACATTTTTCCTACTTTCAAATTACCATTTATAGTCTACTTTATTTGTGCCATAAATAAGTCAAATACCTTTGAGCTGCTACCGAAACAACCCATTCAACCCAATATTTATCAATTGCCTACCTTTTGTCAGATTTAGTTTTCAAGTTCTTGATATGCCTTGAGGTTATAATGAATGGTACTTGATAGAATTTTCGGCGTGGCTAAAAAGATAATATGAAATAAAAGTGGCCTTTATTTTAAGAATGCAGAGAGACTCCATGACCTCCGGGGTCTGGCTTTCTCTCTGTGGGACACGTGGTGTGGGGGCATATATATAGCTTAGGTCTTGGGTGGTACCTACGGGGCATTACTGATGCACAGGTAGTCCATTGGAATTCATTTCGTGCCACAGATAAATTGCTTAGGGGTGGGGAAGATGACCTTTTGCCTCTCAGCCTCCCACCGCTACAGCATCTCATTTGGGGCAAAATTCTTTCAGTACTTTTTCTAAAATTTTGATTGCTTGAGTTATATTTATAAAATATGTAAAATATGTTTATATCAGTCTTGCCTTAGCATATTAAGTTAAAATGTTTATATTATTAATAATGCACAAGAAACTACCTGGAGAGAGGTTTTATGTGAGAAAAGTTCTGGGTTTATTTTACCTAGGTGCAAATAAGGCTGAGATCATGAATGATTTCAGTGGCTCTACCAGAGAAAATTAAGTTTTTATAGGATTTGAAGAATCTCAAAGAATATGGATGGAATGCTTGGGGTCAGAGTTCCCAGGATGGTCAGTACAGATGTGCAGACAATGCTGGACTTCTCTGCAACAGAGAGATTGTGTGTCTGGTCCTAAGTCTTCTTTATGGACATCTGTTCTGTTTACCAGCGGAGAGAGGCATAGTCTGGTTGGGGTTTTCTGTTTCCTGAGAACAGCCTATTTGCTGAGAAGGTCTTGCTCAGGGCATGCATGACATTTTAGTTTCTTCTAGATTTTTAAAATATTCATAATAACTTTTTCGTATTACAAATAACTTTTTCTTCTTAAACTTTACATCTTTTGAACAAAATTTTAAGTAATACAATTGAAATTTTTTGTGTTTTAAGAAATTTACAGACTTCAAAATTGAAAATATTTACATAGTTTTCTGCTAAAGAGTTTTCAAGTTTTTATTTTTGAATACTGGCCTTTAAGTCCTGTAAAGGTAAGCGAGGTAAGGAGGTGAAGAAACCTGCTTTCTTGTTGCGCCCGGCTTCCTCTCCAGCTCCATGCCCCACGTTTCTGGCACCCGGTAGTCCTTCCTCACTTACTAATTCTCCTACAAGTCAGATGTAGAACATGATGTGTGAATGATTCCATCATGAACACCCGATTAGAATTTCCTCTAATTCTGTGTGCTGCTCCTTAGCAGTTCTTGTTGCTGGTATACTTTCACCTTTGCTTGTGCCATGATCTATAAATATCTGTCCCCGACAAGTGCAGAAGACAGGAACTGTGTCTATTATGGCTTAACTACTTTGCCCAAAAGCCCAGGCAGATGTCCCTAAACATTTGTCGAAGTAACTATCTTGAACGGAAAAATCTACCTGCTTCTGTTGCATTACTTTTATACACTACTGGATTTGATTTAGTAACATTTTACCTAAAAGATTTGTATACATGAGTTTCCGTTTACAGATATAACGGTGACCCTCTCAAGAGACTGCATTATCCTAGCAAGATGTTTCTAAATGAGAATTATACTGTTTTGTTGTTGTAAAAACACTGTCCTGGTTCCCCCACTTTCGTTTTTGAATTATCAAGTCTGGCCTAGGCATTTGCTCAGGCAGCCACTATGTCCAGTGATGCCTAGAAGCCAAACATTTGGCAACCAAGTACCATGTGACCTTGATCAGAGGTTGCCGAGTCTATCAGCATTTTAAAAATAATTTTAAAGTTTCATCTGCAGTACGTGATAATTACAATAATCGTACAGCTGATACCTACCTGCACACTAACACATCTTGAAAAATCCTTCACTTCCTCCTCCTCCATCCCCCTTTGCTTGATTTCTCTCCCCTTCCCATTGCGCAGGTTACTAGCATTCTATTGGACTCGTCGTGTGGAAGGGAGAACCGTGAGCTCAGGCCTGGTTCTAAAAGAGGACGGGGGAGAGTAGTCTGAATTGGGTTATGAGGCCCCGGGCCGGGTGCCTCACCTCAGCCATTGAACTCACTTTGCTGGCCGTGAGTCTGTTCCAAGCTCCGGCTAAGGAGGCATCCGCCGAGCCCCTCCCGAGGGCGAGATACTCGGCATCTCCTGCCCAGTCTGCCCTTGCGCGGAGCCCCGCTCTCTGGGAACTCACCTCCCCGCGGTTCAGGGAGGGCCCTGTTAGGACCGCCACTGGCCCCAGTCTCAGACCTTCCCAAGGGACGTGCTACAGAGTGACATCACGCACTCAGCTCGTAGCCCCACCGATGAGCTTCCCTCCGCCCTATGAGAAAGAAAGGCTCAAACCTAGCCTTATAAGGCTCCCAAATGTCGGTATATTTTTTGGTTATGGTGACTTCCCACAATGCATAGCGATATGTAGATATTGCCAGGAGTACCTCCCACTTCTGGTCCTGTCAGCTCTTTTCTAGGACGCGCGCGCTGCAGGTTTCCAGCCTGTGATTGGGCCAGCAATTCCGGGAATGAATTGATGACGTCAGCGTTTGAATTCCATGGCTGCCAGACGGCGGGCAAGAGGCAGCGGCGGTAAGTTAGGATTGCCACGCATTCTTGGGGGGAAAGGCTGGGGTTCCAAAGTGGGAAAAGGAGCAGTGCCCCCTTATTCTGGCCCCTCGCCCCTTCAGTTCCTCATCTTCAGCCCTTGGCTCTCAAACTAGTTTTGGCCTTAAACTTTCCGAATTTCGTTTTTCAGATTACTGTTCTTTAATTAAAAAAAGCTTGTGGCGCCGTAAAAACTAACGTAGTACTGTTGTTAGCGCTGAATATTATTCAGTTTAAAAAATTAACTGTAAAGCTTATTATTTTATATATCACTAAGAAAGGATAAATACTTCTAATTGTGATTCACTACGTATATATCAACCGTTGTAGGATGCATTCCAGTTTCAGAGAGTGAAATCGGAATCTTAAAATTGTTGAGACACAGTACCCTGTATATACGCCCTAGTACTCTTAATGTATAGGTCCATCCTATAAATTACATACTATTGTTCTTTGGATTTTATAATTGGGGCCATTGAGGTACAAGGAGTATACACAACTTCTCTCAGTTTCCATAGTTCTAAGCTAGGTATAGACCCTAGAGCTCGCTACTGACCATTATTTCATACCACCTTGGGCGGATCCAAGTACATATAGCAGGAGAGCATAAATAAACAGAAGGGATAAGCAGTCTACAAAACTGATGCCTCGGGCTGTGAATATACAAAAGCCCTGTGAGTCCATTTTATTTTATTTGGTTTGAACAGCAATTTAGGAAGGACTACTCAGAACAGTTCTCAAAACTAGTGGTGTGGTAGTTGGTATTGTTTCATTGAAAACTTACAAACCCACCTTATTATTTCTTTAACCCTCCCCTCCCGGTGGAGAATGTAGCTCAATGACTTGCCTGGCATGCAAGGTCCTTTTGAGTTAGAATCTTTCCTTCCTGTAATTAGAAAAAGTTCAGAAGTGAGCAACACACATGCACATATAAGTATTCTTATGTTTGTCAGCTAATCCCAACTACTTAGAAGAGCGTGGCAGGAGGATCACAAGGGCAGGACCAGTTTGGGCAATTTAACAAGACCTTGTCAAAATTTAAAAAGTAGAGAAAGTGGCTGGGAATACAGCTCAGTGATACACACCATTTGTTTGGCATGCATGATGCCCCTTTCCTATGTTTTTTTTTTTTTTCAATAAAGAATCATATATACTCTAAATGCTGAATCATACTGTTTAAAAAGTTAATGTAAAGGTTATTATATGTCATTCATTCTTGTCTTTTCATTGTTCTTGCTCTTAGCTTCTGCAGTATTAAATAAAACCAGGAGAGATAATAATGGCACTACAGAAGACTCACCCCCTGCCAAGAAAACATGCAAATATCAGAGACAGGAAGTGAAAAAGGAGCCTGTAGCTAGAGGAAAGGCTGATAAGGGCAGGACCGAAGATACAAAAGGTAATTAACTGTGGGCCAAGAGAGTCTTGGAAGGGATGGTAGTGACATCTTGTTCTTTCAGCTCTTATTTCTTTCTTCCTTAAATATATAATTAATTTTCTGTGCTTTGTGTATGCCACAGTATTAATCTACTTTATTGAATTATCTTTTTCATGTGTTTGAGGTGAATTGAGACCAAAGCAGAAAACCAGGATTACTTAGGAACAGCAAAGTTAGTTGTGACAGGTATCTAAGTCTGAGAGCTGCCTTTTTTTGTTTTTACTTATTTATTTTTTTGTACTGAGGACTGAACTCACAACCTTGTGCTTGCCAGGCAGGTGCTTATGCTGCTGAGCTAACTCCTTGGCCTTGTTTTGTCTTTTTTTAAATTGGTACAGGGTATCGAACTCTTGACCGCACGTTTGCAAGGCAGGCCCTTATAGCTGCTTAGCTAAATCCCCAGCCCCTGTTTTGTCTTTTTGAGACAGGGTTTCACTAGACAGTTTACGCTGGCTTTAACTTACTTTGTAGCCCAGACTGGCCTCAGAGTCACAGCAATCTTGCCTCGGCCTCCCAAATGCTGGGATTATAGGTGTATGTCACCACACCTGGCTCTGAAAGAGCTACTTTTAGCCCTCCCCTCCCCCCATTACCAGGAATTGAACAGATGACCTTGTGCTTGTCAGGCAGGTTACTGCCTGAGAACTACTTTTGATTGCCATATAAATAATTGTACTGTGCATTAATCTTTTCTCAGAATCTGTGAAGTCAGTGCTGCTAAAGGGCAAAGCTCCTGTGGACCCAGAATGTACAGCCAAGGTGGGAAAGGTGAGAGACTCTGAAGCCAATTCTGAGTCATTGATTTCCCTGAGAACAGTGTTCTTTTGTTACTAGGATTCTTGTCTCAGATGTAGCTAGAATGCATTTTAGGAAATTTTCTCTAAAATTTCACCAGTAATTAATTTTGTGAGAAGTGAGAATGGGTGGGATTTGGGATTAATAATCAAGGGGTTGATAAGATTACTTTTTGCAGCAATCATCAGGCTTTGACACCTTATTCGGTTTTTCAGCCAGAAAATTATGTTATTAGGGAGAATTGTCTTCTTCTAATGACAGACTGCCTTGTAATGCTGTAAGTTACGGATGAGTGGGAAAAGGATTTGAAGTATACAGTAAAAAAGCTGCTTTCTCTTTTGAGCAAGTTTCTTTTGAGTTAGAATCTTTTCTTCCTGTAATTAGAAAAAGGGAGCATGCTTTCATTATAGTAATAACAGACCATGAGTAGAATATACACATCTCTTTCTTTCCTTGGAAGGCAGATGATGGTGCTAGAGAAAGAACCTGGCGCCATAGAACTCAGGATTTTGGAATTCAGGACTGAAACCATACTGATACTATCTTTTTTTCTTTCTTCAGGCTCATGTGTATTTTGAAGGAAATGATGTCTATGATGTCATGCTGAATCAAGTAAGAGGAAAAACCATTCTATTTATGGCACTTTCTTCTTGATCATTATTGATGATAGAGCATCCCAGAAGCCTTATGCTGTGTTAGCTCCTACTGGTTACTCTTCTACAGAGTGTTTAACCCTACCACACTAATAGCAGTATGCTCTATGAAAAGCAGGTCTTTTTTTGCAAACTTTATGTCTTTCTTTAAATCTGTAAATTTTGTGTTCCTTTTTCATGTTTTCGCATAGATTGTTGATGTATGTTTTTCTAGCTTCAATTGACTTTATGTAACAGGAACAATAGCTTTTTGTTTGTGATAGAAATTGTTCATATGTTTTGTAGATTTCTCATGTACCTTTTGATCTTCCTTATAGTATACTTTCACTCATATTGAAGTTTTAAATTTGTATGTAGTTAAATTTATTAATTTTTTTCTTTTTAAAATTTTTCTCATGTATTTTTGTGATTTTTGAGTAGGTTAACCATTTGCTTGGTTAACGTATTTTCTAGATATCACTTCATTTTTTAATTTATTAATCCAACATACTTAATTTTAACAGCTAACTAGTATTCCTTTGCTACTGCATCTTTCCCTTAAAATATTATGAGCAGACAGAAGATATCTTAAAGCCCCCTTTTGTTCTAACATTGAATGACTGTAATATCAATGAGGTAGAAGGGGCAGTGCCTTCATAACAGGCTCAGCCTTCCAGCACTAACTTCTGTGCCTTACCATGTAGACCACTGTCTCTACTCTGACTGAGGTACTTAGATGTGTCTTTTCAGGTATTAGTGGCAGTTTTTTATTTTTTATTTATTTTATTTATTTATTGGTACTGGAGATCAAACTCATGACCTCATGCTTGCCAGGCAGGTGCTTATGCCACTGAGCTAAATCCCTGGTCCTTCTAGTTTCATTTTGAGTGAATGTCCCCAAATCAGATCAGGTCAAGGATGGGGCACATGTGGCAGTGGTTTCTTGCATATCCTTGTCCCCTCTCACCGTTGTCCTGCTTTCAGCTCATTGTCATATTTCTGAAGCTGCCCCACAGAAAGGGTCTAAGTAGAACAGTCAAGAGTAAGAAGTTATTTAAGCAAACAAACTATAATAGATAAAGATCAGAATGGAGCATCAGAGTTGTTCTCATATCATTTGAGAAATAATTATTGGAAATGACTTAAGAATTAGAAAGCACAAATAATGTGGAAAGTTATCTATGGAGGGAACAGAACAGGACCATTGAGAATACTTAGGTTGGAAGGCGGGCTTTAGGGAGCTTTTTTAAATTAATTAATTTTTTTTTAATCTTTTTGAGACAGGGTTTTGTCTTGGTCACTTTTCTCTCATTGCTGGAGCTAAATACCCAACACTTCAAATTAGGGAAGGAAAGGTTTATTTAGCTTACAGTTTTTTGGAGGTTTCAGTCCATACTCAGCTGGCCCGCATGGCTGAAGGGCAACTGTTTATGGCGGCTGCAAGCATCAAGAGCAAATGGGCAAAAAGGGGAAAGTGTGTCTCCTTCCCTTTCTTACATAGTTATGCTAGCTACCTGCTCCTGGGTGGGTGCAGCATTCACACCATCAATCCCAGCACTAGACAAGTAACCAATCAAAAATGCTAGAGTCAGCCATGGCCATGGCCACATCAGGTTTTAGGGGGACATTTAAACAAACCACAACAGGGTTATAGTATATAGTTCACTCTGGCCTTGAACTCTGTAGCCCAGGCTAGCCCAGAACTTACAGCAACACTCCTGCCTCAGCCTTCTGAGTGTTGGTATTACAGGCATATGTCACCAGGCTCAGCAAGGCTCCTACTTTAATACTTCATTTTTTGTTTTTTTTTCCTTTCCTTTGTAAAAATTACAAGTCTCAGGCCAGGGATTTAGTTTAGCATCGTAAGCGCCTGCCTGGTGAGCACCTGGTTGTGAGTTTGATCCCTAGTAAAAATTACTATTCTCTGTGACTAAGGATGAGTCATTGGTTTGTGTAACTTCCATGTGCAATACTATCTCCTTAAAAAAAAAAATCTCTTTTACCTCCCTTTATGACGTTATTCTCTCCCTCATTATAGACCAATCTCCAATTCAACAACAACAAGTACTATCTTATTCAGCTGTTAGAAGATGATGCCCAGAGAAACTTCAGTGTTTGGATGAGGTGGGGCCGAGGTAATGGCTTTTATTATGCATTTTATGAACTGTCATTCAAAAAACCAGAAGCAGTGTAGTGTTGGGTGAGTTTATACTGGGTGAGGGGAGCTCTGAAGTCTGGGAAGGCCTTGGGACGTGAGTTAGGCTTCTTCAAGTTGGAGAATAGCAGGCATTGTCATCAGGAAGCTCCCATTGGCATGACTCTCCTGCAGTTGGACTTCGAGTACTGCTGGGCCAGTTAGCAGGTAACTTCTAGCAACACGATCAGTTCCCTAAGCCCTTTCACCTTTACGTGTCCTTGTGCCCATTTGTCAGATGGTAAGCAGAGGACCTTAAAAGAGCTGACTTATTACTATGGGGGCACTGTTCTGGGGGTGCAGGACAAGGAACCATCTTATGTGTGGCATTTCCCCTTTGCAGTTGGGAAAACAGGGCAGCACAGCTTGGTGGCTTGTTCATCTGACCTCGACAAGGCCAAGGAAATCTTTCAGAAGAAGTGAGTGCTAAAAAATGAGTACAAAAAGATACTCTTCTTGGATCTTTGTTCTTGAGAAATTTTATAAATGCAATTTGACCTAAATGTTAATTCCTTTTCATTCTTACAGACTGTGATTAGAATAAAATTTTGTTTTTAATTAGCAAATATTAAATCAACCTAGCACTTTGAAATTGATTAAAAGTGGAAGAATTCTAGTATATTTAACACAAAACAAAGAGAATTTGAGAAAAGTGGAGACTATTCAACTTGAGTTTTAAAAAAATTCACTGAAATATGGTTGAATGACTTTCTGAGGTCTCTGAGAATGTGCTTCTACTCAGAATTGGATAGACACTTTTTGTCTTAGCAAACAAAAGAAATTTTTTTTTCCTGTACTGAGGATTGAACCCAAGACTTCATTTTCATGCTAGGTGAGTGCTCTACAAACCTACATCTTCAGCCCCATGTTTTTTGTTTCAAATCTTAATGGCTTTTGTGGTATTTGAGAACCTTTGGGAAGTTCAGACACTTTCCTTCCCAACTTTGGTTTCTTCATTTCTCCTTTGGTCCAGTGTTTTTTCTGTCCATTCAGTGACCTAATTTAAAATTCCCTCTATGAAGGAAAAATAATTCTTTGTAGATTTGCTGTCCAAAGAAACAGTTCTAAATTCATGACTAGTAGTAGAACTTTATTTGTAAGATTTCTTTACCACCTTGGGTTCTGTAGATTCCTTGACAAGACGAAAAATAATTGGGAAGATCGTGAGAAGTTTGTAAAGGTCCCTGGAAAATATGATATGCTGCACATGGACTACACTGCCACCTCTCAGGTAAATTGACGTTAACTGAAAGATAGCTCCTCTTACTCAGAGTGGAATCCAGTAGTGACGTTTAGGTCGGTCTAAGACTTACCTTCCCCTGCAGCCCCACAGTCTAAGCCAGTGAATCTTGAGCTATTACTGTTTTCCACCTGAGAAGTAATTTTGACTATTCTTTGTAACCTCATAAGAGCAGAAAGAATAAGATTAGTTGTGCCATTCCAATCTCCACTTTGTTATTTACTAAGATTCTTAAGGAAATCTGAGACCCTCTTCCCTGAAGTTTAGTGTAATAGGCCAAGAGAGTAATAATCTGAGAAAGTTACATGTAAAGTTTTTTTTACTTCTGCCTCTATACCACAGTAAAAAATTCATTTTGACTGGTCTACCACAATGCTAAAAACTCACATATCTGAAAAGTGGAGATTTTAGTTTTTAGATCAGATGATTTGAGATATAATAGCTTGTCCTTACATAATATCACTGGGAAGTCCTTTTAGATTTTGAGTGCTTTGTTATGAAAGCAAATCTGTCCGTCACTCAGAGGTGGAAGTCACACTGAGTACTGTGGGTTAATAATGGAATATACATTCAAGCAAAGACTCATTGATGATCGCTGTTGAACCACTGTGTTTTTTAATTAAGTTTATTGGTACAATTTAGATATATATAACAATGGCATTCATCATAGGGAATTTGTACCTGTACATGATATATCTGGATTTTTCTTTATTTCTCATTCTGTTGCTCTCCCTGCTACTCTTCCCTTCCTTATTTACAAAAGCTTTGTTTCCATTTTGTTTTTTGTTTCCTTTCCTTCCTTTCCCCTTCCCCCCTCCTTCCTCCCCAGTTCTCCTTCCTATTTGAAAAATGTCTTCCTATTTTTTTTTCCAGTGTCTGTTATACATTTTGGTCCTTATTTACACTTCCCATATCTCACACCAGAAAAACAGTGTGGTGTTTACACATGTGTGTCTGATTTATTTCACTTAAGAGTATAGTCTCAAGGTGCATCCATTTACCTAGAAATGTCTCAAGGTTATCCTTTTTTATGACTGAGTAGTTCTGCATCGTATAAAAAATACCATTATCCATTCCTCTGTTGATGAAGGTTTGGGCTATTTCCAAGAGTTAGCTGATACAAACTGTGCCACTGTACATGTAGGTGTGCATATATTGCTATGGTATGTTTTTAATTCTTTTGGGAAGATACCAAGAAGGGGGAATAAATAGGTCAAATGGGACCTCTAGTCCTAGTTTTTTGAGGAATCTCCATTCTGACTTTCACAGTGTTTTTACCAGTCTGCATTCCCACCAATAGTGGTTCCTTTTCCCCTCCAGCCCCTCCAGCATTTGTTTTTGGTTGATTTCTTGATAATAACTATTTTTTCTGGACTGAGATGGAATCTCAGTGTTTTAATTTGCATCTTTCAAATAACCAGTGACGTTAAACATTTTTTCCTGTATTTGTTTTTTGTTTTTGTTTCATAATCTGAGAAATGTTTCCTCATTTCAGATGCACATTTTTGGATTGTGTCTTTAAATTTGAGAGATATAGAGCCAGGCAGATACCTGTAATCCTTTTTTTTCCTATAGGATGATAATGAAACAAAAGAAGAGGGCTCCCTTAAGGCCCCCCTGAAACCAGAGTCACAGCTACATCCTGAGGTGCAGGAGCTGATGAAGTTGATCTGTAATGTACAGACCATGGAAGAGATGATAGCTGAAATGAAGTATGACATCAAGAAAGCCCCACTTGGTAGGACTTCAGATTTTGTTCTACATTCTATCTTTGTGTCTATCATGATCACTATCATGATTTAAAGCTTGCTAGTAGTACTGAATGAAAAAAGATTTGGAATAAAAGGTGTATACGTGTGTGTGTGTGTGTATGTGTGTGTGTGTGTGTGTGTGTGTGTGTGTGTGTGTGTGTGTGTGGACTGGGGGACTGTTGTAAAAGTTGAAAGGTGAGAGGCTATGTTGAGCAGCATATAAGTTTACCTTTCTGGACAACCCTGCTTTGGAGTCTGACCTGTGGTTGGGCTTGTAGGAAAGCTGACAGTGGCGCAAATCAAGGCAGGTTACCAGTCTCTTAAGAAGGTAGAAGACTGTATTCGGGCTGGCCGGCGTGGACAAGCTCTGCTAGAAGCATGCAACGAGTTCTACACCAGGATCCCACATGACTTCGGGTAAAGCCGTGCTGCGGCTTCACTTTGTGCTTCTGTCTGCCTGTACTTCCTGAATCAATCAGTAGCAGCTGGAATCCGCTTAGTCTTTTGTTCCAAAGGAAATTAGTGTCTTAAGTAGAGCCAAAACAATTTATAGGTAGCTTATCTGTAAATTTATCAGTTTAAAAAGAGATGCAACCCCCTTGCCTGGTTATCATCATATTCACTGATCAAATGGAAGTTACCAACTCAAATGAAAACGGGTCTGGCCATCTAACCACTAAGTAAAACACCTTCAAGATGTATCACCCCTTTTATTTTTCTTTAAGGTGACTATAACCATGCTAAGACCATATTTAGTATACGTTTAATCTCCCTTTATGTATTTGGAGGTTTACATTTTTTTACAGGCCTCTTCGTCTTTCAGATGGAAAACATCTGTTTCTTTAGTTTTACTTCTTTATTCCCTTGGTTTTTTTGAGAAAGCCTTACGATGCAGTTCAGGCTGGTCTTGAACTCACTATGTAGTCCATACTGGCCTTGAGCTGGCAACAGTCCTCCTGCCTCAGTCTCCCAAGTCCTAGTGTTACAGGTATGCACCACAATACCTGCCCTGGAAAACATCTGTTTCTAAAGGACCTTTTTTTTTTTTTTTTTTTTTTTTTTTTTTGAGACAAGGTATTGCTATGTAGTCTACTATGTAGCCCTTGCTATGTAACTCAGGCTGCCTTTAACTTGCAGTGATCCTCCTGCCCTATTCTCCTGAGTGCTGGAATTCTGTGGGTGTACCACTAAAAGGACCTATTGTTAGTATGCTGTTTGTAGTCATGCACTTTTTAGCCACAAATTTTAGCTATAATTACAGATAATTACACATTGTATCTCTGTCCTTAGACTCCGTACTCCTCCATTAATCCAAACCGAGAAAGAATTGTCAGACAAAGTACAGCTGCTAGAGGTGAGTTAAAAATGGATTAGGAAATAGTACATCTCTTGTCCTAGGTTTCCTGACATTAATTTTATATTTTCTCAGGCTTTGGGAGACATTGAAATTGCCATTAAGCTGGTGAAGACAGAACTCCAAAGCCCAGAACACCCATTGGATCAACACTATAGAAACCTACACTGTGCTCTGCACCCTCTAGATCATGAAAGTTACGAGTTCAAAGTAAGAAAAATCATTTCTTTTCATACTTCTACATGCATAAGACCAACTGTGCCCATCCCACTATTCTCTTGACTCTTTCTAGTTAAAAACAAACTTAAATAAGGCAGAATTTCTCTCTGCCAGCAATTTGGGAAGGAAGACCTTTTTTCCCCTGCCTTAGGAGGCATTTGGGAGCAGGAATTTCTGCCAGGTTATGCCCAAAGCCCTTCATTGTGTATTTCAGGCCCATCTCTTTACAGTTCAACATCAGTATTTCTTCCAATGTTTCCACAGGTGATTTCTCAGTACCTACAGTCTACCCATGCTCCCACACACAGTGACTACACCATGACCTTGCTGGAGGTTTTTGAAGTAGAAAAGGAGGGGGAGAAAGAAGCCTTCAGAGAGGATCTTCATAACAGGTCCGAGTCTGAGATTGGGAAGACAGTTCTCTGCCTAAAGTGCAGTTAAAGAACTTGGAGAGTAGCAGAGCTGGCTTTTGGCTTCTTTGTATTTATGGCCTGTGTTTACATGAGAGCAAGAGTACAATAACTACTTTTTCTTAGGATGCTGCTATGGCATGGTTCTAGGCTGAGTAACTGGGTAGGAATCCTGAGCCATGGGCTTCGAATTGCCCCACCAGAGGCTCCCATCACAGGTTACATGGTGAGTAGAAATTGAATTCTAGGTAGAACACAGGGGCAAAGGATACAATAATTGTATCTATCCTTTTTCATCCTCCAGATCAGAATTAAGAGGCGTTGGGCTAGAGATGTAGCTCAGTAGTAGAGTGCTTGCCTACCATGCATAAGACCCTAAATTCAATCCCCAGTAGTACAAGAAAATATGAAAAGAGGTGGTACTTTTTCCCAAAATTAAACCAGCCCACTGATAACTTTATCACGTCTTATTGCGTTTTTCTTTCTTTAAATTCCAAATGATGTTGTTCCATTTCCCTAGAATGCAGAGATTCACAAATATTTCTACTCTCCTTGGAACAGAATTATGAAGAGTATTATAGAAGGGTCAATATTGTGATTAAGAGAATGGAAAAAAAAGCATCAGTGTTAGGAGCTTTCCTTCTAATACAATGGATTAAGCAGCTGACCTGAGTTTTGTTTATTTCAGTTTGGAAAAGGAATCTACTTTGCTGATATGTCTTCGAAGAGTGCCAATTACTGCTTTGCCTCCAGACTAAAGAACACAGGGCTGCTGCTTTTATCAGAGGTGAAAAAGGAACATATCTGTGATCTCTAGTTTATTAATCTCTGTTTTTTCCAGTGAGAAGGGTTTGACCTTAGAAACAAGAGGTTCACCTGAGATGGTTTGAGGGATGCCACGGGGGAATTTCCATTGCATTAGATTCCTCTGCTACAGGCAGGGAAGAAAATTCAGCTGGGATTTTCTGGTTCTCTGTATAGTAACATTATTCTCAGTAAGGAATTCCAAGAGTGTTTGTTTTGCAGGTGGCTCTGGGTCAGTGTAATGAGCTACTCGAGGCCAATCCTAAAGCAGAAGGACTGCTTCAGGGCAAACACAGCACAAAGGGCCTGGGTAAGATGGCTCCCAGTCCTGCCCACTTCCTCACCCTGTAAGTACTCAAAGCCAGTGTATGACACAGCTGTCTGAATTCCACCTTCTGAACCAAAGAGTACTGTTGACATTTTCTTCTCTTTGGCAGGAATGGGAGCACAGTGCCCTTAGGGCCAGCGAGTGACACAGGAATTCTAAATCCAGGGGGTTATACTCTCAACTACAATGAGTTTATTGTCTATAACCCCAACCAGGTCCGTATGCGGTACCTTCTAAAAGTTCAATTTAATTTTCTGCAGCTATGGTGATTGTTGATACTAAACTAAAGAAGATCCAAGCAAGAAAATAAGCATTGTACTTTTTTTTTGTACTTACAAGTTTTTTTGTTTGTTTGTTTGACACAAGGTCTCACTATGTAGTCCAGGATCCCCTTATACTAATGTGCAGCTCAGGCTAGCCTCGAACTTATGACAGTTGTCCCTCTGCCTCCCAAATGTGGGGATTAGAGATGTACATCACCGTGCTTGGCATAAACTTCTTAAAAATTTATTCCAGTACTGAGCATTGAGCCCAGGGGCTTCCTGATGAGCTATATCCTCAGCCCTTTTATTTTTTATCTCGAGACAGGCTCTCACTAAGTTGCCCAGACTAGGCTTGAAATTACAGTCCTATGTCAGCTGGGAGGCTGGGAGTGTGCACCATCATGCCAGACTCTTTGGTACTTTATATAATAAAATTGAAATGGTACAAACATAACACTGGCTTCTTTGGGCTTTGCTTTTCCAAACACTTTTGTTTCTTCTGACATGAGTGTATCTTCATTTCCAGGAAAGGAAGTACCCATCGCTCTGTCCTACAGCTAGGTAGGGGTTACTCAGGATGTTGTTCCTTCACAGCATAGCAGGATAGCTGTGCACTGAGGCACACTCATGGGGGTTAGTGCGTTGCTCTGCTGAACATTACTGTGGTAAGAGTAGAGGACCTAGAAGGCTGAAAGGTTCCCTTTTGTCCCCATCCAAATCTTGATTGCCTTTTTAATGTTCATCAGTTGGACCACGTCTCGCCATTTAATATCTTGTTCCTCATTGGATGTCCAAAAATTTGGAAAGCTCTAAGACAATTGTCATTAAAGCCCTGTATGTCTTGGAGAGGAAAGGGAAAAGTAGGTTTTGCATATCCTCCATCTAAGAAGCACTAAAGTACAAGTCAGAGCCAAAGACTTCCTGATTATTTTTAAATACATGCAACACACTTCCTTAAAAGACAGTGAAGGTTGTTTATTTAATTCTTTTGGTATAGAAGACTGACTATAAGGCCTCATTATATATAATAAGCTATCCATCCATTCCCTAATGAAAGTTGTTTAATTGAAAACAATATTCTGTAACTTTTTAGAAACCAGATTACCAATATCTTTTAGCTTTTAATGTGTTAATCCTTTCACATGAGACAGAGATGTGCCTATTTGCATTGATCATATCATTGCAACGTTGGTGGCATCGATAAGGAACTAATGACATATGTCCATTCATTGAACTATTATGCTGCTGTCAAAATTGAAGACTTTATATACTTGTCTAAAAAAATAGAGAAGGGAATACTTCACAGTTCATCCAATAAGGAAGTATGAAATTAAAACCAGATACAGATTATTACAAGAAAATCATAGACCAGTATCCCTTCATATAATTGTAAAAATCAGTAAAATGTTATTAAGCCCAATCTAGCAACAAAGAAAAAGGATGGTACCCCATGACTAAGTGAATTTACAGAATGCAAATAGGTAAAAATCATGTAAACTTAGTAGAGGCAAAATTACCTGGTCCTCATGCAGCAAAAGCATTTGGGAGATGCAGCATCCTTTCATGGTACACATTTTAACAAATTTGAAACAGACCCTCCTTGGCGTGAAGGATGTCTGTGAGAAACCTGTAGCTGTGAAACTGAATCAAGTTGTGTGCAGCAGAAATTCATTATGTTCACTGCTTTACAGGGTTCCTTATACTTAAACCACAGGCTTATTTGTTGTTTTCACCTATACATTCCTTAGATTTTTATAGTTCACCTTTGGAAGCTAAATATTCTTGAGAATAAAAACTTTTAGATCCTTTTAGATTTTGAATATATATATATATATATATATATATTGATATGAATATATATATATATATGCACACTGAATAATAGTTTTATTTCTTCTTTTTAAATTTTGCTTTTGTTGTTGTTGAGACCATGTTGCTATGTGGTTTAGGCTGGACTTGAACTCACTGTGTAGACCAGGCTGGTCTTAAACTTACTTCAGTCCTCCTGCCTCAGCCTCCCAAGTGCTAGGATTACACACGTGTGCCATCATACCTGGCTTAAGTCATTTCTTCATTCGTATTACACTGACTGGGAATGTTGAAAAGGAGTGGTACCCTTAGGTATCCCAGCACGCATAGGGCTTGGGTTCAATAATCAGCACCTCCAAAAAACACAAAAATGGGCAATACCTTAACCTTAAAGTGATTGAGGTTAACATCACCAGTAAGTCACATTGGTGTCAACAAGCAGAGCACATATTCACAGATTTCCCCCTTACATCCATAATCTCAATTTATTCATGAAAAAATAGGCAAAGCAAATTTAGGCAGCTCTACAGTGAGAGTTGAGGTTATGGAAAGATTGAAAAATTGTCAGAACTGGTACAGACCAAGGACACATAAATGCAGTGTGCTGTCCAGGAGAAAACAACACTAATGGAAAAAGTGGTGAAATCATAGCATGTGGGGCTGCGTTTGTAGAACTTGTCCGTGCATGAAGTCCTGGATCAATGCCCCAGCACCAAGATAAGCAAAGTAAAAGACTACGAACACTTGTTTTTGTTTTTTGGGACAAGGTGTCACTATGCTGTTCTGGTTGGGCTTGAACTCCCAGAAATCCTTCTACTTCAGCCTCCCAAACGCTGGGATCACAGACATGTATACACCATCACACCTAGCAGAACACTTTTAATGATGAAGGACCACATGTCTGTTTCTCTGCTGTAATTTCTCCTGTTTTGAAATAATACTTTGGCAAAATACAATAAAGAAATTGCTCTGAAAATGAAACAGCAAAATACAAGTCTTAGTTTATATTAAGTGCGTCTGCCATAAGGTGAGGTTACATTTGGTTTCTAAATATTGTCGACTTCTAACTTATTTGTACTTATCTAACTGAAGACTTAACAATTTGTGTACCAATGATAGTGTACAAACCAAAGCAAGTACCTGTGCTCTACATTTCAAAAATGGATGTGGGATAATAGGTGTGTTAAAAAAAAAAAACAGGTATGTTAAAATGTGGTTATATGAGAAAGGTGCAGTTGTCAATGGGCAGGAGAAGAAATATGATCCCATAATCCATTGGCGATAACTGTGGAGCTCACCCAGGGTGTGGGAGACAAAAGTCCTGTTTAATGGGGAAAAAATATGCACATGATGACCTTCATGTAAAATATAACTGATTGTTCCTTCAGGTATCTTTCATTCATAAAGTAGTTCCTTTATCCATGGGGATTATTGCTGCAAGACCCCAAGGGATACCTGAAACCAGAGATAGTACTAATCCATAAATATACTACTTTTTTTAAATAGACATATGTTAATTTATAAATAATAACCATTGTTAAATTCCAACCGTATTGTTTTGAAATTCTGTATAACTCATTTTGTTGCTTTTGTTTGCTTGATTGCTTTTTTATTTTTCTGTGCTTTTTTCTCTTTAAAAAATAAATAGATGAACTAGGCACAGTAAGAGATTAACCACAAAAAATAATGAAATAGAACATTTATAGTGTAAGAAAACAGCCCTGACGTTTTTTCTTTTAAGATGGGTCTTGCATAGTTCAGACTGGCCTCGAACTCATGACGTAACCGAGGCTAGCCTCAAACACTAAAATCCTCTATCAACCTCCTAAGTAGTGGGATTACAGGCATGTACCAACATGACCCGTAAACTCTGGACTGTAGCTGCCCTTCTAATGACATGATATGGTGCCTGTGTGTGAGATGAAGTGGGGTGTAATATCGGCTCCATGATACAGTGTAAGGTGAGAATGTGAGGGTTACCAGAGGACAAGTACCGCAGTACAGTGACAGCTAATCTAGGGAACTCATTGGAATGAGGGAGGACTCCTGTCCCCCATGAACACACCAAGATTTCACAGTGTCGCTCAAAATGCCACATAATTGAAAACTTAGGAAGTGCTTATTTCTACAATTTTCCCTTTAGTATTTTTGAACCATAGTTAAACACAAGTAACTGAAGCCACAGAATATAGAATCATGGATAAGAGGGGACAAATGGATTTAATTTTACCTTAAATCTGTTCCTCTCTTTACTCACAGGAAATTTAATACGGCCTTGCTATATAGTGTCTCCAAGGTAGAAAAACATTTTCAACCTCTTGGAGATCCAACAAGACTGAATGTGTTGAGCAAGTCAGCCTCTGCTTGACTTTCCCCCATCCCTACTCTTCCAGCCTTAGTACTGTGGTGCAGATCTGTAATGTCCCTAAAAAGTCTCATGATCAGAGATGGAATCTGATAGTACAAGGTGTGTCACTGTGGGAGTCCGTTTGGTGGGCACAGTTACCCCCACAGGTCCTCTGTTCTCATTCCTTGATGACTTCCATGAGATGAACGGTTTTTTCCACCATGCTGTTCCTGCCTTGCAGCCAGCCCATCTTGTACTGAACCCCCTGAAGAGTCAGCTACTTAAATCTCTCCTTTAAGTTGTGGGCGTTGGGTATTTTGTCCCAGCAGCCAGAAATTAGGGTGTCTCTGTGAAACATTCAGACCTTGAAAGACACAACTTGAGCTTCCTCCTGTCCTTCATCCGTGCCTCTAGGAGAGCAAAAGACAAGCATGAAATTAGTGTCTTTATCTCAGCCCACCAGACATCAAACTCAGGCCTTGTGCATATTCAACAAAGGCTCTGCTACTCCTACGCCCCTAGGCCCTTAGCCGGGCCGTGATTCTCTGCAGCACTTTGGGGTAGGATTGTGGGCCATAAATTTCACATTAACTCCAATCTATATTTCTAGTGGTAAGATACTTATACAAGTGGTGCTTCCTTATATATTTAGAACCTTTGCATGAGGCACTGGAGAAAGACTGAATCATGCATCATCTGTCAACATTTATCAGCTGCTGTCTGGGTCCTCTAGCTGGGGGAGGTCATAGGCAAATGGGTAGAACAGGTGAAGCTCCAGGATGATTTAGCCAAGTGTAAAACCTGGGATCAAGGCAAAGGGAGAACAACATGCAGTACACTGAAACTCCCCAAAGCCTTAATATTTATAGGACACAGTGAAATGCTGTTTCTCTGGGAGAATGCGACCTACCCAGAATAAAAGTGCTTGTCATAATATTGCTTTTCATATGTAAGTCTTTAAATTCATTTAAAATTTTTTTATCCTGTTAAAGTCTCCTGAGGGCAGGGAGTCATTAAATGCTTGAATACAGAAAATGTTTCTTTCTTCTGAAGTCTTAGAAGGAATCTGAAGGAATTATTTCTCATAATCCCACTACTTAGGAAAATAAGAAAGTTCTAGAACTTTTAAGAGTCTTGTAGGAAAGTCCCCAAGCCAAACTACTGGGGCATAATTATAAGAACGCATTCATAAGATAGCAAACTTGTATATATTTCACGATCAATTAGAAGCCTATGACCAAGTTTCTGTTCTGCTGTGTCTACTAACTTCCACTGACTTAGATGGTGTCTACAGACACTTGGTCACATACCTCTAATTGATCATGAGATACGTAGTAAGTATGCAATTTTTTTTTTTTTGCTTTCTTTTTTTGAGACAGGGTATCACTATGCTGTTCAGGTTGGCCTTAAGCTCATTTTGTAACCCAGGCTGATCTCAAACTCACTAGGACACTCCTGCCTCAGCCTCCCCGGTGCTGGGATTAACAAGCATGTGCTACCACACCCAAATTCTGTTATTTTATAAGTGTATTCTTACATTAAAATTATAGCCCTAAAAGAGGGTTAGAGTGTTTGTTAAGTGCATGGATATAACTGTTCCACTTCTCATCGTGTATTAAGTTATAAAAGTTTCAACTTGAGAAAGTTCTGTCTTTGTGACCTTTTCCCAGGAGAGCTAATCACTACACCTCGGAATACCTGCTGTCTCTTCTCCCCACTCCTCAGACAGGGGCTGTTTCCAGAGAGCCCCCGGTGCTGTCCTGGTCCCATCCCAGCTCTTGCTGAACGTCCACTGCCCTGTTGGTGCACATGTCTTCCCCTTGTTCTTTTCCACCAAGTGAGTGCTCTTAGCTCTCTTTTCAAAGTGTTGCTAAGTGACTCTTTTTTCCCATTCAGGAAGGCATAGAAACTGAGGTCTCAGGAACACAGCACCTCCAAACCCTGGTTTCAGAGAGCACCTGCTAAAGGTGTGGTTCGCTTTCTTGCAGTTGTATTAGGCATTAATGATGAATGAGAAAAGAAATAGACAGAACATCCACATTCTTCCTTCTCAATCTAAAGCCACATGAGAGCACAGACAAGGCCGTACTAAAGACATAGGGACACTTTACTTGCATCATCACAGGAAGGAGGCAGCCAGAGTACTTTCAGGCTTTGCATCTCTAGCACAAGTGATCAGCTTTCCCCAGCAGTGCACTTTCATTCCCAGGACAGAAAGTACACATTGCCCTGTGTGTCTCCCACAGCGAGCCGCAGGGTGGAGTCAGGGCCCTGCCAGGGCTGCAGGCAGCTCACTGCCCCTTCACATCGGAACAGGCCCAGCTGAAACAGGAACAGAAATGGGGGACAATAGGGGAGGTGAGGGCCAGCTACATGCCCAGGGGCTCCTTCATAACTTTTTTTTTCACTCAAATAAATGCCTTTTATTTAGAAGCAGGTATGTCACTGCAAAAGGAACTAAAGAAAATGGAACTTTGATCTTGTGCTTTTTCTTGTCCAAATACGTTCTCTGGTAACTCCCCCCAGCCCCTTCTTGCCTTTGGGACCCACCTGCTCACACACCCACATACCCACACTTACCAGTTGCATACTGGGTCTTGCCCACAGCTTAACATCTCTGTCCTTTGATCATGCTGATGCTCAGGGAAGAAGAGCTGAAGTCTGCTGTGTCAGCGCACAGCCTCCTCCCTACCTGTGACCCTCCTTCACACTCACCTTTCTACACTGCTGCATCTTTAGCCCCATTCTCGGCCAGTTGGCCATGCTGGCATCTGATGCGTCTGTCCCTGAAGCCTGGTCTTCAGGTTCTTTTGTCTGCCACATGTTACCTGTGGTCCATCCTCCTTCAGGGCTGCATCCAGCCAGGGTCCACAGCACTCCATGGAGCTGGCACACAGGAATGAGCACTCTGCCATTGTGAGGGCAGAGTTAGAACCAAGATCTACCCACTTCCCCTAGGGCATCTCGGGGCCCCTCAGGCCTTCCCATGCCACTCACCAGATTCAGGTTTGGCCTGAGTCATCATTATTGAGGTCCCACTAGGATTCTCATAACACATGGAAAAGCACAGACTGCCTCCAAACTCTCCTGTTTCCTTTTGCTTCTGTGAAAGGACAGTTGACACTGATTAGCCTGCCCATAGCACACAGCTCTGCCTGGCGGAGAGAACTTTCTAATACCAAACTACAACATCAACATGGCAGAGGACACAATGGTGAAATGTTCAGCTCATGGAATTTTTTATTGTATTTACCCATCCAATCACCCCTAGATCAATAGGTATAGAATGCTTGTGTTGTTAAAGGCAAATTCCAATTGATCTTGTGCTTTTTCTTGTCCAAATAGGTTCTCTGGTAACTCCCCCCAGCCCTTCTTGCCTTTGGGACCCACCCGCTCACACACCCACATACCCACAATTGGAATTGGCAATCAATTGGAATTAATTGGAAATATAGACAGACAGGGCTAGGTACTCCAGGGAGCCCATGGAGGAGACCAAATATCTTGCGACTTTGGAGAAGACAGACACCTTCTACTGTGGGCCAAACTTGGAGACAAAATAGATGCAGCCACACCTTAAGTATAAACATCTGGAACTGATACTCTAAATAGGCAAGGATCACCTTGAAGAAGCCAGGAGTCACTATCCCAATCCCTATGGGGAAAGGCCCTATTCCCTCTTGCTATGTGACTCACTTCCCTATTGGATCCCTGAGAAACACACTCAATCTTATTGCTTGACCATAGTTCTGTCCCACCTCATGCCCACCTGCCTTGCCAGTTTCCCGTTTTCCCAAAGTTTGGGCCTGCCTCACCTGTTGGTTTTGCTCCAAAAAACTCCTAGAAAAGACAGTCCTTGGCAAATCAGTTGGGACCCCTTCTGCCTCTCTCTTGGACAGAGCTTTCTTTCTCTCAATAAAAATATTCTGCTCTTGACCTCTGTTGTTCCTAAAATTCATTCTTCATTTTAGAAAACATGAATTAGTACTAGACATCTAGCAAGCTGGGGGTTCTTTCCCCTAAATCACTATCACCCCAAAGTTGCCCTTTCCTAGTCAACAAAGGCCACCCCTAGAGATAACAATATCCAGACTTCTGTCATCATACAGTAGTTCTGCTTCTTATTTAGTTTTATTTAAAGCAAATTATATGCTATGGACTCCTTTGGGTCTGGCTTCTTTGGTCCAGGATAATGTTTATGACGTAAGTCTGTGCTGTTCCTTTTTTTGGAGATGAATCTCACTATATAATGCACACTGGTCTTAAACTCGATTATGGAGTCCAGGATGGCCTTGAACTCTACTGCATAAGCCTCCCAAGTGTTGGAATTACAGGCACGTGACACCATGCCCAGCTTATGTTGCTTCTTTTATTTATACTCAGTATCACATTTTTTCTTGCCATGTACTATTCCACTGCATAAAACACCAAAATTATTTATACTTTTGCTGTTTATAGACATTTTAGGTTGTTTTGGCCTTAGTAAACAACACTGCTACAGACAATCTTGTAATTCTCTTTTGGAGTACATGTGTACTTCTCGTAGGTACATAATTTGCAATGGAATCACTGGATCATTAATAGGCTTTGTGAATAACTTTAATAGGTATGAAGTCAGGGTTTAGTAAGCTTCCAGAGGACTAGAACATCTAGCTCTGGCAAAACAAATTGTAAGTATTGCATGTATATGATTTAAAAGTTGAAGTGTTTGTCCTTAAGATGCTAACACAGTGATAAGATGGAGAGAAATGGAAAATGCAATTAGGAAAACTGGCAGCTGGGTGTGGTTGCACACGCCTGTATTCCCAGCACTCGGGAGGCTGTGGTGCAAGGATTTCTGTGAGTGGAGGCCAGCCCCAGAACTACACAGTGAGAAGTAAGAAGAAAAAAAAAAGAAATAAAATTTCTGGTTTTCTGAATTTGTTGAACAGTACAACTCTTTTGACTGGCAGTTAACTCTTACACAGAAAACCAGTAACTCACTCTAAAGCAGAGCTGTGCCTGTCTAAGAAAGATAAGGAGGTGTGGACCCAACTGCCATTCCTTCCTTTTCTCCTCTGCATGTATCCCAACACATAAAAACACTGGTTCTTAACAAACATGTAACACATACTTCAAGAGGACTTACCAAGGAAAAAAGTAGGCCAGGATGCCTTGCGTTCAGGTAGAAAACCCCATTCTTCTTGTGGGTGGACCATAGTGTAGGATGATTCCAAATTGTGCCTGGTGTATAAGAAAGTAGGACGTTGACCCAGATTGCCTCTATTTGGGATTCCATTGTTTCTTAAACTAAGGGAACCACTAAACCACTGCTTTCCTTTCTTTAATTCAGGAGGAATAAGCATTGTGGATCTTACGCGATTACACGTGGAGCATTCGCAGCGGTCATTTGTAGTATTTCCAAATCCATACTGACCAAGATGAGAGAAAGACCATTGGGGGCCAGTTCCAGACTTGTCAAGACCCCTACTTCTTGCAGAACCTGATTCAGGTGAAGACATAGCTCAAAAAAAAATAGACAAAGATGTCACTTTAGTCAGCCTCCCTCCCTGCATCCCTCCACAGCTCCCCATGCATCCCTCACTCGTGAAGTACAAAGCAAAATGCCTGCCTTCCCACCTAACCTGCTCACTTTTCCTTGTTTTGATGGTGCCAAGGCCCTCGTATGCTAGACCAGCCCCTATTTTCCTTTCATCAGTATTAGTGTTCATCATCTCTCTCATTCCTTCCTCAAACTAGGAATAAATAACATTCGCATATTTTCCTCCAGTCCTAACTCCAGTTGATCAATAAACTCTGGATTTCACCTGCAAAGCATTCACATATCAGTGTCCTTCCTTTAATTTTTACTGCCCGGGTCAGGGCCTGCAGTGTGTCTTCCCTGGCTACAGCACCAGCTGTGAAAGGTCTCCCTACCTTTGACCACAGCTACTATCTTGGGGACCATGAACTGCAGATTGACACAGTATCTGTCATGGGCTCCCCTTGCCCTGCCTTATTTATTTATTTGGTACTGGGGATTGAACCTAGGACCTTGCACTTACCAGGAAGGCACTTATACCACTAAGCTAAATCCCCAGCCTGCCCTGCTTGTCTCATGGACCAGTTTTGGGATGTGGAAATCACCTTGCTCTAGGTCAGTAAGTTTAGCACCCAGGTATGGGTGGGGATGGATTGTGGCTTGTTGCCTTTCCAATGTTAAACTTTCCCATTCTCCCACTGCTTCGGTGCTGTACCTGGAAAAGTACCTACCTCATTCCCCCATACACTGGCCCCTAAAATATTAATTAGCTAGAACAACTGGTGGTCCCATATCAATGCTATGAAACCCTCTACTGTATCTCTCACTCTTTTTTTCCTTTCCCACGATGTACCATAATCCAGGCAGGAACTCACTGCAGGGGTCCACAATAACTGGCACTGTGGGGAGGGTCTTGTGGAGGCTTTGGTGTCCCCCCCTGGCAATGTGGCACAGAGATGAAAAAAGACAGGGAGATCTGCAGTTGAAGGGGCTCTAGGATGACCCAATGCCCTTGGTGGACCAAAGGGCCAAGAGTCCACATGCCCAAGGCTTTTACTGGAACCAATCAGGGAGGTGGGTGGAGGTCATGGCAGAGTACATGGAAGAGAAGCCTTGCAGGCATGGCTGTAAGGAGACAGAGCGCTCTTGAACCACACACAGAGGCTCCCTAATTAGTGATGCAGGAGATAACTTGATATATGCCAGGCTGACACCTTTAATGCCAGGAAGATACGATTCTTATTGAGTCCCACGGGCACAGCGGAGATGCCATCTCATGTCTGAGCCCGGGACTCTCACAGGCTGCTGCTGGAGCCTCTATTCCAGCCATCAGCACAGGAGCTATTCTCCTCCCTGGGCAGCCACTTTGCTATCTCGAGACTCAGTGACACATAGGCTGGACTCAGTCACATCCTTTGGCCAATGAGGGATCATCTGCTTCAATCTGGCCAGCTGTGCACATCTCAGTGAACAGGGTTAAAGAACAGCTCAGGGAAAGATGGAGGCAAGGGACCTCTTTTCTCAGGGCAGTGTGGCTTGGGGTTCTCCCACACTATCCACCAGAGTTTTCTCTCACTGAAGTTGAATTTTTTTGAATTTTCATTGGTTTATTTATATTTTTGAGACAGGGTCTCACTATGAAGCCCACGCTGGCCTCAAACTTATGGAGAAGTTCTTGCCTCACCCTTTGCAGACACGCTCTATCACATCCAGTTTCTGTTACTAAAGTTGTCATCATGAGGGTTTTGCAGTGTTGTTCAGGGGCAAACTGCATGCTCATTATCATGTGTAAAGTCACAGGTTTGATCCCAGTACAAAAAAAAAAAAAAAGGAAAAAGTTCAGTATCAAAATTGTGAAAACTGTTTTTTTTTTTTTTTTCCTTTTCATCTTTTTCTTTTGAGACACGGTCACTTAAATTCACTACGTAGTTCAGGGTGTTTTTTAATTCATAGTGATCTTCCTGCCTCAGCTCTCTCATAGTAGGATTACATGTGTGGTCACCTTTCTATTAAAGTCTTAGTATGGTGCCCTCTACAGCTTGGCCTCAGTTTACCTTTGCAATCTAACCACCACCTGTGCCCTTCAGCCTCTCCTACTCCTTCTGGGAACCAAAGTCTTGCTGTGCCACAAAGTCTCAACACAAATTTATGTTCCAGGCCTTTCACTAATGCTTCTGTTTCACGAAACACCAACCCCTTAAATCATGGGTTCATAAAACTCCTATTCATTCTTTGCCCAACATCAAATATCAACTGTTTCCTATAATTTCTCATATTCTTCAGTCTGTTAAACTACTGCAAGCTTCTTTAGTTAAAAATTAAAAGTCAAGCTAGGTGTGATGGTATGTGCGTGTAATTTTAGACACCTGGGAGGCTGAGGCAGAAGGGTATCAAATTGAAGACCAGCTTGGGAAAAGTGAGACAGTGAGGTCTTGTCTAAAACTAAAAAGAAAGCTCAGAAAATTGTACTATTGATCCTATTAGTTCAGAGAAACAAACTGTGACTGTTTATACTGTTTGATCTGTTTTATATACCCATATCTTATAATCTTTGCAACTATTTTTAAGATAACAATATGTAATACAATGACTATTAATTTCCAATTAGCTTATTTTGAAATATTGTATGGTTTCTATTGTTTTGCTTTGTTTTTATTCTTTTGTTTTGTTTTAATTTCTTTAAAATTGAACAAAAAAAGATCTGGGATGCTGATAAACATGGCCTTGGATACAATCTTTAGTACTGTTAATAAATAAAAAGAGAAGGAGAATATAATTCATTTGCAACTGGTTGACTGGACCCAGAGCTTGACATGAAATAGATACTTAACAAGAATTCAATTGCAGTGACATGGTCAGGAGCAGAAAACTTTTCCTGCTCAATACTTAGCATCCTCTTGACCTGCTCAGAAGCACTCAAGCAGCGATCTGTTGAAAGCCCCAGGTAAAAGGAACCTAGTTTCCAAGCACCATCTCCCAGCTGCCCGGTTTCACCTCAGTCTTCTGGAAGTCGAAGCCGTCTGCCGCTCAAACCCATGCACTCGCCACTTGCTGATCTTTTCATCATCACTGAGAACAAAGAAGGTGTCTGCTGAGAACCAGAGCAGGGCGCTGACTCGGCCTGGAGCCTGGTGAGTGGAACAAGTTCACTTCAGTTTGTCTGAGGAGCCAGGCTAAGCTTCCCCTCCAAACACACACAGCCTCAGCCCCAGCAAGCAGCATGACACACACGGCCAGCGCAATCCTCACACGGATGGAGGAGGCTGCCCCGAGTCACCTGTGCTGTGGCCACAGCCTTGGCTTCCTGCCACAGGGTTAATTCCCCAGCCTGATTTCCAGACACGGCCACAGACCCATCTGGTGCCCAGGCCACAGCGGTGATGGCTGCGAAACTTCTAGGTGTGCTAGGGAAGAAAGGAAGTGATCGTAGCAGCTGGGCTTGTCCTATGATACACAAGGTACCAGGTTAACCAGGTTCTCTACCTCAGCAACACAGACCTCTTCAACGCCTATCTCCAGGCCTCACTCACCTGCTTCCTCAGGGACCTGGCAGAGCCGCACTGATCCTTCTTCTGAGGCAGTCAGCAGGAGGCCTGAGCTCTGGCACATGGCAGCTGCCCTCACCGGACCACCGTGTCCCGGGAGGATGTGTGTCTGCCACACCTAGGAAGGGAGGCAGCTGCACTGCTGGGCACTGACCCCACAGGGCACTGCCACTTATACTTCCCCACCTCCCCCAGCCCCAGAGATTTCAGGACACTCACCATGAGTGGATGCCACAGCCGTGTGGCCCCATCCAGTCCAATAGTCACCACCAGGAGCTCTGAGCCAGGCTGTCTTGCTGATAAGACAAGAAGACAGAGTCAGGAGGAAGGAAAAATGCAGGACACAGAGAAGAGGCTGTGGGGAAGAGAAGGTCGCTGACACTGCTGTACCTGGGCGGGGCTCCAGGGCAGCTGCGCACTGGCTGATGGGTCCTGAGTGGGCAGGGATGCTGGTCAGCTCCACACCTCCACGGGCCCACACTTTCAAGGTCCCGTCCCGGTCCACAGACACCACGTGTTCTGCCTGCCCCAGAGCACAAGATGAGAACGCATGTGGCAAGGGGGACTCCCCCTACAGAGGGTGGAGGGCGAGCACCCAGGATTTGGAAGACATCGAAGAGGGAGGAGGACTCAGGTGCAATAGGTATGAGTGGCTCAGGACTGCAATCCTGCCCTGTGGTCCTGATACTATGTATGTTCCCACCTCCATCTCCCACATCAACCCTTAACCCTGATGCTATAACTGAGTCCAAACATGTCACTCTGGCCCTGCCTTTAGCCTTTGGGAGTGTACCCCCAATGCACCCAGCTCCCTGAGCCCCCATGCGTCCTCTGATTCCCCCCGTGACCTTCCACCGCTTTCTCACCACAGCCACTACGGCGCTCACAGCACTCTGATGACCCAGGAAATGACCGAGCTGCTGTCCCGACTTGGGGTCCCACAGCCCCACAGAGCCATCACTGGAGCAGGAAATCTGCAGACAGAAGGACAGGAACAGGGCTCTGGGCACTGCTATGGCATTTTGCTGTGTTCATAGCACGCAGCGTGTGGGACAGGAGGCCTCCCGATGAGGAACAGGGGCTCTCCCGGGGCTGAATCCCAGCTCCTGCACTCATCACTCTGAGATCTCGGCTGATTCATCTCCCTGAACCTTGGTTTTCTCTTTCTCACCCATTTAAGGAAAAAATGATAAGCTACCACATGGTATGGTTGTGGAGGGGCTGTGTGCACGCTGTCTCGTACACAGTGAACATGTCATAGTGACAACAGTACGTGTTAATCGCACAGTGTCAGTCAACAAATTCAGATAAAGACAAAACACCCACAGTACTAAGAAGAGTACAAGCTGGGGAAGGATAGATTACAGCAAATCTGCTTCAAGGATTCACTCCTTTTTCACCTCTTTTTGAGGACAACACACGGATGCAACACTGGAACTCATTTTACCTCAGTGTGGCTATATTTGCAGACACTTAGGGCCAGCCTTTTGCACACTAAGTGCTCAGTAAGCACCAGCTGTGCCTACCAGAGTGGGCACGGGAAAGGGAATGAAATGGAGAGTTCTGTCTTCCTCCAGGAATCCTGCCAGGCTCTGGGCTACCCCCCGCCTTCACTCACCAGTAGGTTATCTTTGGTCCAGGCACAGCCAGTGACCCAATCACGGTGACACGCGGGGAAGGAGCGCATCAGAAGTGGGGTCTGTGGTGTCCTCACGTCCCAGCAGAGGAGACTCTGCACAGGTTCCAAGGAGAGCGAAGCCCTCAGGACCACAGGGGGAGGCAGGAGCACCAGGGCCACACTGAGCAAGAGGTGTCAAGGAAGGAAAGAAAGAGTGCAACAGAGAGCAGGCGGAGATGGCAGGAGACTGGGCAGAGCAGGAGGCAGGAGGAAGCTGTGGGAAACGGGCTGTGCAGGACGCAGGCAGCATGGTGCCATAGGAGCCAGGGCTGGCATGCTTCAGCACTCACCTGGTCCCTGCCCCCAGTGGCCAGGCTGCCTCCATCCACGCTGAAGCTACAGCAGCTTACAGGGCCCTCATGTCCCCGGAGCTCAGCGGCACAGGGCAAGTCTCCAGTCTTGTGCTGCTGAGTCAGCAACTGTTTGGGCCAGAGCCGGACTGTGCAATCCTCTGCATGGGGGAGAGAGAGGAAGGCTTCCTGAAGGTGGACGGAGGAGCGGCCTTGGAGTGGGGGACAAAGGCCATGATGGGGCTGAGGGCCATGCCTGAGGCAGGGATCCAGGACAGGGAGGAGGTGAGTTATAAGGGTGTGGCGAGGCCCTGGGCCAGGGCCAGTCGTCATGTGTTAATGACCAGCACGGTGTGCCAGCTCCCAGCTCCAGTCAGCAGCGAGGTTTCTTGTGCCAAGAAACATCTGGCCCACTTCCCCACACACCTGTTCTCACCACTCTACAGTCCCTGTCACCTGAGAGGACCAGGCCATGCTTCCTTGTCACCTGCACGTCTCTAGCTCTGCTCAGGGAAGCCCACCTGCTTCTACAGCCAAGTCTTCCTCCCTCAGGACAAAAATGCAGAGGATTACTGGGAGCTTAGAGGTCCCAGACTGGTGTATACGGAACAAGAAACTGTCCAAACTGAGTACAGAAGATAAATGCGCCTGAAGCACTTCACAACGTGTAAAGTAAACGCTAACTGTATAATTCCATACATGAATATCCCTCAAGTACTGGTGGAAGGAAAATATTAGAATCTGATAAAAAAGAAAGACTGAGGAAAGCCTGCCCTGCTCAGCAGTACCTGACGCAGAAGCCAGGAGATGCTGGCAGCTGGCCAGTCCCAGCACCGCCTTCTGGTTTTGGGGCAGAAGCCAGAGGGACTGAAGGGTGCTTTCCTTGAGCAGCCAGCCCTGCAGGGTGCCATCTTCTGCACCACTCACCAACACCTGGGGGCTCAGCCAGGCCAGTGCAGACACTGCCACCTCTAGCATTCGACCCTGCACCAGCCGGGAACCTGAAGAAAGACACAGAGGCTGAGAAGAAAACAAGGGAATGGGCCAAACTAAGCGCCTTCTTTCAAGGTTGCAAAAATCCATCCATCACAGCTTTAGTACCTGAAGGGCCTCTGTAGATCTTAATGCCATCTGTTCGGTACCCAACTGCCACCCGCTTGCTGTCTAGGCTGAGTGCCACCGAGAGGGCAGGAGAGAGAGGAAGGGAGCCCAGGCATCCCCGAGGCTGACCCAGAGAGCCTGATCACACCTGAACCTCAGAGCCGAGGAAACAGATTAAACACATGGCCCCACAACCACCTGGTCCTTCACCCCAAGGATGGCCACCTCACTAAGGTCCTCTTCCCAGAGACTCCTGAGCATTTCCACGTGCACACACTGCTTTCCTCTCCTGTAGCTCGGCCTCTGGGCTCCTCTAGGCTCAGCACTGTCCCCACCCTCACCCAAATCTTCTTGCCTTTGCTACACCCTCCAGGTACCCCACTATAACGCCCTGCAGCCAGACCTTGCCGTCCTCGCCAGCAGTCAGCAACTGGTTTTGGGCATGCAGCAAAAGCACAGCAGAAACAAAGCCACAGTGGGCAGGGAAGGTGGCCAGCCGGGCCCCCTCTTGCCAGGCCCACAGCTCGACCATCCTGTCCAGCCAACCCACAGCTACGACCCGCCCAGGTGCATTGAAGGCCAAAGTTCGAACAGAGGATCCAGGGGCCCCCAGTTCCTACACAGGAAAGCAGATACAGAATCTCAGGGCTCACTTTCAGCACAACTCCAAGTGACACCGAGGCAGATGCATGTCCTTCCCCGCCTCCCCTCCTGTGCTTCCCTCCCCACCAAGTGCTACTGTGGGCTTCTACCTTGGTGGCTCTGAGTCCTTCCACCTGGAAGAAGCTGACACTGCCTGCCCAGGTGGCCAGTGCTTGCCCCTCTGGGTGGAAGGCAAGGCAGTTGAGGGGCTTGGCACCAGTGTGCTGGAAGGACAGCTGGCCACGGACCATGTCCCACAGCTGGCATAGTGGAGGAATTTGAGAGCTAAGTACAGATGCTGAGCTTCTCAGTCCCACAGCCCCGACACCATCTCATCCTGTCCCCTCCTGCAGTAGGTGAAGGCTCCCCAGGCTAAGCAGTCAGCATCCAGCCATGCTGAGAGGAGAAACATGCAGGTCTGATTTGCAGTGGTCACTTTGTGGTTACCTTTAGGCAGCCTCTTGTTATACTAAGATGGTGAAAAATCATAATAATTGATTAAAAGATGATTAGCAAAAATAGTTAAAAGGATAGTTATTAGCAGTATTGTCATTCTGTACTGAGCTCATTACCCTAGTAACCAAGCACCAACCACATAGTTATAAATTAACTGACCGCGTTGTTATGCTGTTCTGTACATGTCGTCCCCACAAGTAACCAGTGTTCTGTCAACCTTTGTTCCCCCTTGTAAGAGACAAATGATGCTGTGTCAACCATTGTTCCCTTTATGAGAGACAAATGTTCCTAGAATTGGCAGACCAAGGGCTATAAATTGGCTAACCACCCACTGTGAAATGTCTCTAACCTCAAGCAAAGGGGAACAAAGGCCCACCTTGTTTCTGTTTCTCATCACTATGTACTTAATGATGAATGAGCTAATCATAAATGAACTATAAAAATCAGTCAAAATTCTAACTCAGTTGCACAGCTTTGCAAATCCCATCTGTACTGTGTCGCTGGGCCAGCTAAAATAAAAGCGCTTCTTTTAAAACGACATTGTCATCTTGCCTCGTTTATCATCTCGGGGGTCTTGCCCCATTTTTCATTATGGGGCCTTGTTTTTTGGGTGGGTTACAACACCTCCCAGGCACACGGTGGCCAGCAGCCGTCGGTCAGAGCTCAGCCAGCAGTCCGTGATTTGGTACTGGTGAGCCTGGTCTGCAGCACCCTATCCCGGCAAGACAAGGTCAGGCCCTGGGACCACGTGGCCACAGCCCTCCTTGATCCTGTGCCCCTGGGCTTCTCAAAGGGACGGGCCTCACTTAGAGACATGGAGGGACCGCTCACCGACAACCGCACTGCAGGTCCCAGAGCTCCAGGAGCCCATCAAAGGCAGTAGGAACAAGGCGTTGTCTGAGAGGAAAGTACAGGATGAGATCTCGTCACAGCCACTCACCACAGACTTTTCGTCCTGTGAGGCAGGATGGGAGGGGAGGTTGGGCCGCTTCCTGACCTTCCCTGTGCAACTACTACAGCCCCAGCCAAAGCCAAGGCCAAGGGGAGAAGGGCTTGCACCCCAGCTCTCTGTATTCCTGTGCCAAACCGTGTTCAAGTGGGATTCCTGATCCACATCAGCCTGCCTCTTCTCTCACACCCAAGCCCCACACTTATTCCCCACTTAGGATTCTCATGGGGTTCGGTGAATGGGGTCCCACTAATGCATATATAGACACAGGAGCGCGGTGATGTGGATGGGGACAGAGAGGCCTTGGCAGTGGCTTCTCTTCCCCCTAATCTACTACTGCTGCCCCCCATCACCCTCTGCTGGCAATGTACAGAAACACTGCCCTAGGGCTTTATTGTGGCTCCACCAGAGGCCGTTCCTGCTCCACCCTAAGTCTTCTGTTCTCCACATGACTACCGGCTCTCAATGATGGCAGCACTGTCGTTTTGTTTCCTGTCTTACCTCTCTGTCTCTGCCCTGTCTGATTATGGAACAGGGAGAGACATGGGTCACAGTGACCACTGTGTTTCTTGTCATGTACAGTGTTGTGATGGTTGGGTCTGGATGTCCCCCAAACCCTCATGTGGTCCTGAGGAGCAGGGTTTTCAGAAGCAACTGCACTTGGAGTTTGTCTTTTTTTTTTTTTTTTTTTTTTAAATCGGTACCAGGATTGAACTCAACCATGCGCTTGCAAAGCAGGTGCTTATGCCACTGAGCTAAATCCCCAGCCCCTGCACCTAGAGTTTGTGACTTATTCATGGTCTAATGTTGTGATTAAGGGTGTGCCCTAGGGCAGGCAGTCAGCACACACTACAAGAGATACAAAAAGCCCTGCTTCTCTCTCCTCTCTTTTGCTGCTTGCTTTTGGAGTCTTCTGCCCCCAGGAATGGTAGCATGATTGCCATGAGCCATCCTGCCTTGGAACCACTGGATGATGGACTAAGACCTCCAAAGCTTTCATCATTTATCTTTGGGTGTTAGGTATTTTGTCTCAGCAATGAGAGAGAAGTAACTAAGATAAGTGCTTGGAATGCACTCTGGGTAGCACATTTTATCTGTCTGGATTTGTGTGTGTGTGTGTGTATTAGGAATTGAACCCACAGCATTTGCATTGAGCTACATATCAAGGTCTTTTTATTTTCATTTTCATTTTAATTTTTGAGACAAGGTCTCAGTAAGTTGCCAAGTCTGGGAACTTACAGTCTCACTGCCTCCGCCTTACAGAAGTTATATTCTGCAATTATAATCGGGCACCTGGATATGTGATTTTCTTTCGTTTTCTTTTCTTTTCTTTTTTTTAGTATTGGGGATCAAACTCATGACCTTATGCTTGCCAGGCAGGTACTTATGTCACTGAGCTAAATCTCTAGCCCCAGATTTTATCTTTGGACCACGCCCTCTGATCTGAGTGAAAGTGGTAAAGCTGCTGAATGAATCAGGGAGATCATGCTGTGCCCCGCTGTGAGGGCTGAGGGTTTCTGGAGATAACTTTTGCCCTGTCTCAGGTGTCTACCTGCCAGGTTCTCAGGTTCAAAAGGTAAACTGTCCCATTTGCAGTGCCCGCAGCTGCTCTTTGTCCATTAAGAGAGATGGCCACGGCAGTGGGGGATGAGGAAATTGCCAGAGACATGCTGGAGCTGGAGGAAGAGCAGGAAAAGCGGCATTTAGGAACAGACTGGAAATTGACTTCTGCCCTCTGAATCGGAATCCTTAGGGCTGAAGCTGTTCTGTGGTCGAGTTTCCAGGGCCTGTGGGCACAGCCTCACCTGTGCTGACCCCGCACACTCTGGGGTTTATTGAGCCATCGCAGCATGTGCTGGAGGTGCCCTGGCTGGGAGAGCAGCGGGGCCTGGCAGCACACAGGTGAGTCTGCAGGCTGGTTGGCTGCCTGCTGGCGTGGAAGTCGGGGGTAGCGGCTGAGGACTGGGGCCTGCTGCCTCAGGAAGGTGCGGAATGCTGCTACATCAGCCTCAGGGAGCTTTGGTTCCTCCTCAGGGCCTAACGAAGCTAGGGAGAGAGAAGCACAGATTCACTGGGGAGCCAGCCAGACCCCGTTACCCAGAACACCACTTGAAATCATCTCATTGGTCTAAAATAGTCTCTGAGTGCGATTGTCTGGTCCATCAGAAATGCTGTGCAAAGCAGCATGAAGCTTTGGGCCACATGCTGACCTAGAGAAGCAGAGTCTGGGGCTCTTGGGATCTGTAATTTGAACACTTTTCCTAGGTGATTTTTCTGCTCCCTAAATAAAGTCTGAGAACTTCAAATTCAAGAGGTCTAAGCAAAAGGTCTCCAGAGAACCAATAGCTCACCTGCCTGGCATGCTCAAATTCTGGTAGAGACCTGGCTGGTTTTCCTCTAACTCCTCTCTCTCAGCAGGGATTTCCTCAGCACACTCAGGAGCTCCAAGAGCTCAGAGAAGAAACGTGCAGACACTCCTCTCACCATAGAGGGCGTGCACCTCCAAGAGCTGGGGGAGCAGGCCCAAGTCCAGGTGTGCAGCCACCACATGCAGACTGCTGAGGAACTTCGCTGGTGCCCGCTCAGGAGCTGGGGAAGTCGGGTGGTACCCATTACCCATGGGAAGAGGTAGTGAGGAAGGGATGGGAGAAGGCACTGTCTACTCCCACAGCCCACATCTGTGGCAAGGAACTGACCCTCTGTGGGACAGAGGACCTCAAGGAGACAGGGAAATTGAAAGGGGAAGGGGGCAGGGAGTCGGGGGAGGTAAACCACAGTGGGCATAGCAAAGGTGTGCAGGGGACAGAGGTCTAGGAATAGCCTGAGAAACCCGGTGTGGAGGCACAACCTTGTAATACCAGCACTCTGTGGGTGAGGCATGAGGATGGCAAGTTTGACCCAGCCTGTACAAATCAGTGACTTGGTGAGAGTCTCAAAACAAAAACAAAGGTCTGGTATGTACCTCAGTGCAGGGCCTGCGCTAAATCCCTAGTATTACAAAATAAAAGAGTAAGATTGGCCAAGGAAGGTGCTTGGGAAAGGTTCCCATGGGATCTGGGGACTGACCAGGTGGTAAGGCAGGTCTCCCAGAGCCTCTGTAGGACAACGTCGGAAGAAGCCTGAAGCGTCAGGGTCACATATCTTCCACAGCAGAGCTGTAAAAACAAACCCAGTGTCAGGCATGGTGGCACACCCGTAATGACAGCACTTCGAGGCTGAGACAGGAGGATTACCACACATTTGAGGGTGTTCTGGGCTAAACAGTGAATTCAAGACCAGCCTGAGCTACACAGCAAGACTCTGTCTCAAAACAACAAACAAACACTCCACCAGACCCAGACCCTGAGAAGGACTCGGTGCTGCGGCCTTCTGCTGAGCCTGCAAAGCACTTGTTAGAGTTGCCCCAAAGAAGGGGAGATGAAGAAAGAGTCCTGGCTCAAAGATGGGCAAGTGCAGTGCGGTGGGTATTGGAAGCTGGGTAGGGGCACCTGTACCTGCGCAGGTCACATCCCTCCAGCTACAGCAGAGGCATCCACCCATTGCAATGCCAAGGCATGGGATCAGCAGATAGGGGCACACTTGGGTGGTCCTGCCCCTGTGATGCAGGCCCTAGACCTAGTGCCCTAGGGGCCATGCTCACCTGCAATAAGCACATGGGCTGTGTTCTCTAGTCCTCCTCTTTTCCCATAACGGCATTTGGCTGTTGTCTTCAGAGGCCCATCTGGGAGGCAGAGGCGGTCACCAGGGCGCTCCAGAGGCCCCTCCCCTAGCAAATTGTGCCAGGAGAATTGGGCAGAGGAGCAGGGAGGAGAGGAAGGAAATCATTCAGGGAACACCCTGGCTTGGGGTTGGCCTCCTTCACACCTTACATGGGGTTAGGGTTAGAGTTTGCATCTGATGCAGAGCCTGCGAAGCACTTGTTAGAGCTTCCCCAAAGAAGACGGGGATGAAGAAAAAGGTCCTAGCTCAAAGATGGGCAGGCTCAGTGCAGTGGGCAGTGGGAACCAGGCTGGGGCACCTGTACTTGTGCAGGCTCTGCACCAGGTAGGCAAATGGGCCCATGGGGTAGGGCTCTCCACTGTTCCCTGCAGCCACCGCTTCTTCCCAGCTCTTGGTCCCTTTGGGCAGAATCTGCCACCCACTGAGCACCATGTGCAGCTGCTCCACAGTGAGACCTAAGAACCCAAGCCTAAGGGTCAACCCAAACACACAGTGTTCCCATGCCAAGACACCTGGTCCTTTCGGGGGGAGATCCCACCTGAATCATGCCACACAAACCCTGAGCACTTCCGTATCCCATTCTGCCCCACCACTGACCACTGCGTGTGACTTCCAGGGAGGCTAAGGTGTGGGGAAGGACATCACGGCCATGCTCCTGCTCCAGGGCGCTCAGGATGTGCTCCAGCAGCAGGGGCACAGTGGCAGGCAGGGAGCGAAGTCTCTCAGACACCTGGGAGGGGAAGGTGCGTAGGAGTCATGGGGTGGGGAGAGGCAGCATGGGCTTGGGCAGGGAAAGGGGGTGGGAGGTGAAGCAGGGGAAGGGAGAGACAGGTGGAGGGAAGTGGGTGTGGTGGTGACACAAGGATGGGAAGGGGTGATCACAGATGGCAAAGGCCACATGTGGGCCTGAGGCATGGAGCCCAAGGGCTGTATGGAGAATGGGAAGCAGGTTAGGCCTTGGCAGATGAGGAGCAACCAACCTGCTCATAGAGCATGAAGAGCCTCAGGTGATCGGTGACCAGGCCAGGTAGAGAGGCAGGCCTGATGCCCGCTTCACTAGCAGCAGTTGCATCTGGTGAGATGCACAGGACTCAGTGTGGGGACTGAGAGCCTGCCACAGCCTGCCTCTGTCCCCAGTACCACATTCACCACAAGGCAGCTTCTTCTCTGAGAGTCCCATCAGGGACAGCCCTTGGCACCACCTGGGAATACAGTATCCCTCCCACATCCCACCAGCGCCTCGGTCAGGACACTGGCCTGGTGCAACCTGAGGGCACCAAGCCCTTTACTGGTCTGTCCTCCCCTCAGGGTCCTGGCGAGGCTTTCCCCAGTCAAAAGTCCTTCACAAAACAAAGCAGCAGCCCACGCAGGGCAGGGGTTAGCCACAGTGCCCCATGCCCTGCCAGCTCCCAGAGCCACCCAAACACCCACCAGCCCTGGCCCAAATCCAACCTGACTGTTGAAAGGCAACTCCTCCAGCCTATTCCCATATGGTTCCAGATGGTTCCAGGGGCCCCAAGGTTACCACGTGGGCAGCTTGGCTCTGCTCAAGAGTCTCCCCAAGACCAGAGTTGCTAGACACACTCAGCACCAGATGGACCCACTGTGATTTGGGGGCCAAGCAGCAGAAGGCAGGGGTAAAGGGAAGAAACCAAGTTAGAGAGGACTCTCCTTCCAAGGCATCCCTTGTCCTCTACTCCGCCCCACCCCAACGTCCTTCTCACACTCACCCGGGGAAGGGACTTTGGGATCCAATCCGACATCAGCTGCCCATTCTCATTCACCAACTTGTCAGCCCCGTCGATGATCAGGACCAGGGTCTGGCCAGGCTGCAGGGTCTCAGCGCATTCGGGTAGCAGCTTGTGCTGGAGCTCCCACACCAGGCCGCTGTGCGGGGAAGGCAGTTGGGATCAGGCCGATGAGGAGCTGCAGCAACTGCAGCTGAGGACAGGGGACACACCCACCGGTATGAGCTGGGGAGGGCACTGGCTTTGTGCAGTTTTCCATGCAGATGGGTACACAGGCGCCGGAGCAGGTTGAGGGCAAGAGCCTGGTCAGGGCGGGCCCCTGAGAAGTGAAAGAAGACTGTGGGTGCCACTTTGACTCCATCAGGAGCCTGTAGGGCAGACACGAGGGATGCCTACATAGAACAGGGACAAAAGCATGGTCACATTTTATTACCTGCACAAGCTCCTGAGTCCACCTCATTAGATACTCAGCACCACCCACCTCCTAGTGCACAGACCATGGCCCTCCTATCAGGAAGGTGGCTTGCCCTGTCCTGACTGCCCTGTCACAAGGCTCAGCTTCCCATGGGGCAGCATCTGCTGCCTCATTGTATCTCGAAGCAGGACTCCTTGGGCTTCATAGCTCCTGAAAGGTGGCCTCCACCACGTCATCCTCCGGGATGGACACTGGCCGCTGCAGCTCGGCCCCAGCCTGAGTGTACACAGGGCAGGGACTGCTCGGCTTTCCTTGATGTGACTTGCAGAATCTACACCCAGAAATCTCCATGTTTCCCTCTCCATTCTTGTTGCTATCAGGACTTCTGCTCACCTGTAGGAAGAACTTCTGGATCATGCTCCACACGTCCTAGAGAACTAGCTGCCCAAACTCTGCTAGTCCCCTGGCGTAGGGCCGGCCAGCGGCTACGCCCCCCCATTCACAGGAGTATCTGCAGGTAAAGCACATACACCAGAGTCAGAGCAGGCCTGGCTCTCGGCACCACCCCATCTGTACCTGGAGCTGCCCGCCTCCCCAAGCTCACCTACGACAGGTGACCCCTTTCTGTCTGCTGAGGTAACTCTTCAGTTCTGACATCCTCTGGGTGGCCTCTTCTGACTCAGCAGCAAAGTCAGCTCTCCAGGTCTCTGGTATGGACCTGACCACCACAGACGCCCAAGAATTAGACCCCAGCCTCCCTCCACCAACCATCACATAGGGCTGGGACCTCCTGATCCCCAAGGAGAGACCTGACTTCAGCCCCTGGGTGACATGTGCTGTAGGGCAGGAGCCCTGGGTCCTGCTTCTCTCTCAGAGCTCTTAGCTCACCTCTCCCATGCTCAGTGCCACCCCTGAGCCTGCCTGTCCTGCTGGAGAGGGAGCCCTGGAAGGCACTTGAGGAAACTGGAATCCCGGAGGTAGATGAGAGCCTGGGCAGAGGGCCGCAGGCCTTGATCCCGGTTCAGGAACTGCATCACCTCCATCTCTGTCATGGAGCGGCCTAGTGGGTACTGCCGGGCCTGCAGGGAAAGGCCAGAGCAGGCAGGTTCAGTACCAACTCCCACTACGCCTGCCCTCCAGACCCCCAAGGCCTCGGTGCTCCCTCATCTCGGCAGAGTCCCTCCCTTCCTCTGAAGTTCAAGCTCCGAAGTAGAAACAGCTAACATTTCCTGAATGCCTGACATATACTGTGAATTTTTCAAGCAGATTTTTAATTTTTATCATGGCCATGAAAATAGATGTTCTCGCCTCTCTTCACTGTGTGCGGAGAAGGGGATAAGTATTGTGAAGCTGCTGCCTACTACACTTACAAACAACAGAAGGGAGATTAGAAGTCAGACCTGTCTGAGGGCAAAACCTCCCCAGACCTCGTCTCGAAGGAGCCTCCTGACAGAAACTTGGTCACTTGCAGATGCTCTGCCTGCATGCACTTCAGGTCTCGGAGGCAGGCCTGTGCAGAGTCCCAGGCTCCTGACACACTGTGGCCTTTCCTCTCCCCAGGTCTTTCCCACCACTCCCCCAAGCTCAGCTGCTTTACCCAGCGGAAGTGAGGATGGTCAGGAAGGCTGTAGTTGGGGGGAACGTAGCCATAGCGGGAGCCCAGAATCCCCACAAATAGCTGTGAGTTCTCCACCTCCCCAAGGCACACTTCCAGCTGTCTGTAGGCATGATGACAGGAACATGGAGAGTCACTGAGGCTCCGGGCCAGGGAATACAGGCACAGAACCACAGTGACAGGGCCTGGCTCACACAGCAAAGGGGGTGAAGGCTGCTGGTCATGTTGGTACCAACTCCCTGCCTCTATCCTCATCTATCAGGGGTTTTACCCTGAAACCCCTCTTCCCTGACCAAGACTCCCTGTCTGCACCTGTTCTTGCAGGTCTCCTCCTCGGTGATGCCCCAGCGCAGGTCGATACCATGGAGGCTGATGCGGTGAGAGGCAGCTCGGGCCTGCAGTGCTGGCAACACAGACCTCAGCAGCAGGTCCCGCTCCCCATGCATGTCCTGGAAGGTGGAGGAAATGAACAGCCGGATGCTGTGCCAGCTGGGGGTAAGCAGAGGGCCAGGATAGTCCACAGATCAAGCCCCAACTCAAACCCACAGACACAGCACAGGGTGTCATGGGGACACTGCTGTGGCCGCATCTGCACAGCCCTGCAATCTAAGCCCCAAATTCCATCTCTTCTGTATCCTTCTTTCCAGCCAGTCATTACCATTCGTGTAATATTTCTTCACAGTCCCATAAGCTGCACACTCTTACTATCCTTAGCCTATGGATCAAGTAACTATAGCTTTGGCAGCCTTGGTGGTGCAGCCTGAAATCCCACAGACTGGAGGCTGAGGCAGGAGGATTGTAAGTTGGAGGCCAGGCTGGATAATTTAGGAAAACTCTCTCAAAAAAAAAAAAAAAAAGAGAGAATGAAAGAAAAAGAAAAGAAACAAAAAAAGAAAAGAAAAAGAAAGGAAAGAAGAAAAGTAAATTCTATAAAAAAACAAGTCAAGGCAAAAGTCATAACAGGGAGGAAGTTATTATGATCAGATCAGAAATTAATATAATGGTGACTAAGAAAACAATACAATCAATGAATTGAGGCATTGCTTATTGGAAAGATTAAGTAAAATCAACCAACTCCTGCCAATTATTACCAAAATAGGAAAGAAACAACTGATATTCAGGCAATTAGCAATGATAAAGGGAAGATCACAACAGATCTTGTAGAAAAATAGATCACCTCTACCTGTCTTGAGAACTTAAATTCTAACAAGATGGAAAACACAGAAGAAATGCACAGATTGCTGCATGTAAAGGAGTTCCTAAGGCTGAATCAACAAGATATAAAAATTCTAAATATACCAATATCACTCAGTGAACTTGAAGATGTAATTAAACCTGCCAACAAAGATATGCCCAGGCCCTGACAGATTCACTGCTGAATTCTACAAGAAATTTAGAAAAGACCCACTGCCACTACTCCTCAAACTCTTGCATGAAATTGAAAAAAAGTAATACTCCTGTGTTAAGGAAGCATTACCCTGCTACCAAAACTAGAGAAGGACCCAACGAACCATAGGCCAATCTCCCTAATGATCATAGTTGCAATGTCTTCAATAAGATACTAGCAAGTAGAATGTGGCAGATCATACGCCATGACCAAGTTCTGAATTTGCCCTAGGGATGCAGGCATGGTTTAAGATATGCAAATCACAAAATGTAATACACCATATTGACAGGGCTTAGGATAAAAGTCATATGATAATCTCAATAGATGCAGAAAAACTGTTTAATAAAGTCCAATACCCATTCATGATAAAAACCATACAGAAAATTTCAATCTCATAAAAGGTACCTGACAAATCAACAACTAATACCATATTAAATGGTAAAAAACAGAAAGCTTTCATTATAATGTCAGGAACGAGACATGGATGTCCATTGTCTCCACTCTTATTCAATATAGTTCTAGAAATATTAAATGAGACAGAAATAAAAAGAATAAGCACAGGAAAATAAAAGAAGTCAGAGTTTGGGACCAGGAGCTCTAGATTCACCAGAGAATCTGTGGAGGCCTTCCTTGCCCTGCCTTGTGCACTGGTTTTAGGAGAAACCTGCTTTCACCAGGTTACCACTGAGATCCTATGGTCAGTGAGGCTGTGGTGCTCACAGGGCAGGATGAGGCCTGCTGAGGGATGGCTCATGCTCAGGTGTGCAGATGGACCTTGACTGGTTTCTTTCATGATGCTTAGCTTGCCCATCCTACTGCCACTTCTATGCTGCCTCAGGAAAAGTACCCTCACCTTCCGCATGTACTGGCTAAGAAAAGAGTGGCAACCTGGAGAGTCTTTGTCTTAGCCAACCAAGGAGATTTCATCTGCCGGGCCCCCATTTATGAATTACTGAATTTGCTTGTGATTTTTCTTCATACTGTGCTGTACCCCTCAGCAGGCAGTTAGGGATCTTGGAAAAGTCCTTGATTAATAGGGAAACAATGTCTTTCACAATAACATCCAAAAAAATGAAATACCTAGGAATCAATCTAATGAAGGAATAGACCTCTCAAAAAGGAGACTAAAGAGAATATTAGAAAGTGGAAAGATGTCCCTTGCTGTTGGGTAGGAAGAACCAATATAGTGAAAACAGCAACACTTTCAACATTGTTATACACATTTAACACAATCCCACTCAAAATTCCAACTGCAGCCAAAAGACTTCTAGATTTAATAAGCAAATTCAGTAGCATAGCTGGTTACAAAGTCAACACTCAAAATTCCAACAGTATCTCACAGAATTAGAAAAAACAACCCAAAAATTTATTTGCAATCAGAAGAGACCTAGAATAGCAAAGGCAACAAAGGCAAGGCAGGGGGCATCACAATCCCTAATTTGAAATTATACAACAAAACTTCTGTGATAAAAATAGCATTGTACTGGGGGGCAAGGAACAGTGCTGTGGATCAATGAAACAGGTTAGAAGATTCAGAAACAACTTCAAATATACTGAGTCACCTTGTCTTTGACAAATCTACAAAACACATTTACTGGAAGGAAGATAGACTCCTTAATAAATGGTGCTGGAAAAGCTCACTTTACCAAAGCCAGTGCCAGAGACAAAAGCTAGGCCCATGTCACCATGCACTGAGCTAAGACTGAAATGAATCAAAGATTCATTTCATAAAACAAAAAGATTAACTCTGCTGGAAGACAGCACAGGTAGAACTCTGGATGACAGTGGGGCAGGCAAAGACTTTATGAACAAAATCCTGTGGGACTAGTAAGTATCACAAAGAATCAACAACTGGGATCTCATCTTCTTAAAAAGCTTTTGCACAGCAAGACAAATCAACAGACTAAAGAGACAACTCACAGTGTGGGAAAAAATTTTTGCCACTTGCTCCTCAGACAAAAGACTGCCACTTACAATATAGAAAGGACTCAAAATCAGACCCAAATATAAAGACCCAATACAAAAATGGGTGTCTGAAATGAACAGACACATTTTTGATGAAGAAGTAGAAGTGGCAAATAAATATATGAAAAAATGTTCAGCATCATTGGTCACTTGAGAAATGCCAATCAAAAGAATGCTAAGATTTTCTCATGCCTCAGAAAGAATGGCTATTACCCAGAAGTCAATAATAAATGTTAGTAGTGCGATGGCAGGGGGGAACCCTTCTCTACTGTTTGTGGGAGTGTAGACTGGTACAATCGCTGTGCAAGTCAGCATGGAAATTCCTCAAAAAAATGAGGACTAGAGGTCTCATTCGATCCAGCTATTCCCCTACTCAGTATCTTCCGCAAGAACTGAAAATATCGTATCACAGCAATATATGGATACCTACACAGTTTCTAATCACTAAATATTACAAAGAGGCCAAATGCACATCAACTGATGAATGGATAAAGAAGACTTGTAGTTTTCTTTTTTTAATACAATGCAGTATTACTCTGCCATAAAGTAGGATAAGCTTGAGGTTTCTGGAGGTAAAGGTGAGGTCATTCTCTTAAGTGAAACAAATCAGACACACAAGTATAAATATCACAGTTTCTCTGGTGTGAGATGTTAAAAGTGTAAATGAGGATCAAATTGTATAATAGATGTTGGAAATCAGGGATAAAGTATTTCAGTGGAAAGAGAAGTGGGGGTGAAGAGAAAAAGGAAGAAACGACGAGAAAACAAGGAAAAGTGCAAACAAACTTTTGTAAAGCGGTGAGGGGGTTGGAGGGAGGGTACGGGAATGGGAATAAAAACGAATCCAGTTATATCATGGAACAAATTTCCTGTAATGACTGAAACTATAATTTTTAGAAATTAAGGAATCACCTCAAGAATCAAACTAGAGCTCTAGCCTAGCATGTGTGAGCTTCTGGGTCCAATTTCCAGTACTGCGCACGAAAAAAGAAATTATAGTTTTAAGGGCTCAAGGATCAAGAACCGTTTGGCAAAGTCGAGATGAAAACCCCAGAGGCTGCGCTCCTGAGCGCTTTGCCTAAACGCTGGCTCTGCGGTCACGGCACCTGCTGCTTCCCTCGCAGTTTCGCCATCCTCTCCCCAGCAGACAAAGCTGCGAGTCCGCAGCAGGACTTTTCCAGTGCCACAGGAGCCCCTGCCTGAGGAGGGATGGGCACATCTGAGTCCCTAGGACACTGCTGTCTCAGTGGACACAGCAGAGGGATTCTCCAGACACGGAGACACAGACTGACCCAGGCTGCGACAGAGGAGCCAAGGGGCTGGGGGCGTCCTCCTCCAGTGGCCGGAGAGTCGGGACCTGCGTCTTTCCCAAGGGTGGAGGTATCTTGAATATTCTGTCCATCTGGCCCACGTGCTCCAGAAGACGGGAGGCCCCACGCTCTGCAATGAACCTAGGAACAAAATAAATCAGAAGAAATTAATAGATGTCAGCATCAGAAAGGTCTTCCAAGGACAGGGAGAAAAGCTATAAGCAGGCATAGTTTAAATAAATGACAGCACAGAACCACAGGAGTGAAAGGAGAGCACAGAAACCCTGCTCTGTGGCCTCCAACTGTACATTGTAATCATGAAGATTTCTGTTGGACCAGGGAAAACTGGACTGGGCTAAGACGTGGAGATCAAACCAGCCCAGGATGAGCTGTATGGCCTCCAACTGTGAAAGCCCCCAGGGGGTGAATCTGCCTGCAGCCTCCTAGTGGGAGTTGAGGTGAAAAGGTGGTATCTGATGGCAAAGGCAGGGAAGAAGCAATGAAAAGCCCAGGGGGCGAGGTGGTGCAGGCCTGTGATCCCAGCACCCTGGCAACCTGATGGAGTAGGATGGCAGGTTCACAGTAACACTGCAGTCTCCCGTGTCCCTGTCCCTCTGTTCTGCTGGATGTAATATAAACTTGGATGGATACAGTGATGACTGGCACTGAAACCACCATCCTGAACCATGAGGTGGATGCTGTCAGGATGATGGAGCAGTAAGACAAGTGCCTGCATCCCTGACCACTGTGTTGCTGCTAGGACTAGTTAATCTTAACAGGAACACATGCTCTTTTGCTGCTAAAAAGTGAGCGGAATAGAGAGATGGCACAGGTAGCCTCTCACAGGCATTCTAAGGAAGGCTGTCCGTTCCCTCCAGTTTCTGTTTTGTACTTACTTCAGTATCCCATCTGTGCAGCCTGCGAGCCTCACGTCATTGGGATTTGAACTTTTGAATCTGAGAAAGGAGAGCAGTCACTGAGCACCGCAATCAATGCCTGGGACAGTGTCTCCACCCTCAGTGCTTAAGGTGGACACCCTGACCCCCATAGTGTACTTTTAACAGGATTGTGTGGCTGGGATATAGCTCAGTGGTGAACCACATGCCTACCGTGCAGGAAGCCCTCTGCCATTCCCAGCACTGGACACACACACACACACACACACACACACACATACACACACACACACGGCTATGTGCTGGGGTAGGGTTAGGATACACCTCACAAGCAGGTGGAGAACGAGGATAAAGACTTCAGAGAGATGTCTGGATCCTGAAGTGCACCAGAATTAAGAAGGCAAAGAAATAGGAGGTGCTGGAGAAGTGGGATTTCCCAAGCCATGGCCGAAGAAGAGGAGAAACCTGAATCACTGCCTTCTGATACTGAGCAGGGAGCATCCTTACCTGTCGGTTTTCTTTAGGAGGACATTAACACAGAGACATCTGGAATTCACATGCTGCCAGATAATGTGTTGGGCTACAAGTAGCATTGGGTGGCCCAGCATATGGCCAAAGACGACGACCCTGCCCACCTGTATGACACAAGGGGAGGGATGAAGTGAGGAACAGAGAGAGAAGAGACACTAAAGAGCTCAGGACACCAAAAAAGACATCTGTAAGATGGGAGAGTGGAAGAACTCTGATGGCAGTGGGAAACTAGCGCTGCTGAGAATACTAAGAAATCAAGGAAGGTATGACGTCCTGATTTGGACATCACTGTGTAGGTTGGGAAAGGATAGTAGCGTGCTACACTCAGTTCCATCATGATTGTGAGAGCCAATTACTTAATTTTTAGGAATTTTGTGGTTGTCTTGTTGCATATGGCCATTTATTTTGTTATTTTTTGGTAGCTAGCATTGATTGACCTCTGGTAAGCACATGCTCTACCTCTGATAAAATATGCCCATTTTATACATTAAATTGTGCAAGTTTAAAATAAAGTGAAGGGCACATGAATGGTAGGTCAAAGGTGTAATCCTGCCCTAGCATGCATGAGACCTTGGGTTCAATCTGTAACACCACTAAAAAGATAATGAATTATATTTGACCTAGTTAATAAATCAGTATTTTCACTCCTAATTATCTTAATATGCTTTTATGCTTTTGCTCTTGACCTTATTTATATCCCTGCTACTACTGTGGAACTGTGACTCAGTGGGAGCTACTGAGCATTTCTTCCCAACTCTACACTCAGTGACAGGATGTCCATAGTTTAAAATCCTTCATGGTAAGACCATTCACACCATGGTAATTAGCAAGCACGGTTAAGTGAGACTGATTTTCTCAGATTCCTGGTGCTTAAATCCCCAACCACAGGGGAGCTAGCAAGGATCCATCAGGGATACATATATATATATATATATATATATATATATATATATAGTACCAGGGATTGAACTCATGACTGCACACTTCCAAAGCAGGCGCTTATACTGCTGAGCTAAATCCTTGGTCCAGGGAATAGATTTAGAAGCTGTTCAAACTGAAAGGTCAGCTCTCAGAGGCCAAAACTGAGACACATCATTTGTAGAGGAAAGTGGGATACAAGGGCAGAGAGTCACATGGACCGAGCAGGACTCACAGGGACCCCCTGGACAGCCAGATACAGCCAGATACAGCAGGTACTTCTTGAAAGTAACCAAGGGCTACTCATCCTCTTCCTCCAACTCCTGAAGGAAAGAGACTCATGTCATCAGTTGGCTGCACACGAGATAAACCATGGTCGAATTCTCATACGGACTGTTTGTCCCCAAGGTTCACATGTTGAAGTTTAATGACCACTGTGTGTTACATAGAGGCTGGAAATGCCATCTGACTTTGGTAGGAAGAGGTGGCGCCTAGTGGGAGGTCATGGGGAGCCACCTCAGAGGCACTCAGGCAGCTCTCATGAGACCTCCAAGGTCTTGCACGAATGAGTTGTTCTAAAAGCCCAAGGCTGACCCAGGAACCACTCCCTGGCTTTCCATTTCAGGAAATGATCTCTTCCTCTCATGTGCCCCAACCACCATGAGGACCTCACCTGAGCCAAGCTGACCTTACCTGAGCCAACCTGACCTCACCTGAGCCAAGCTGAGGCCTGGGCCATCTCCAGAACTCTGCACGAATAAACTTGTTTTCTTTCTGCAGTTGTCCTGTCTCACATAGTTACTTCAGCAATGAGAAGCAGACTGATCCAATCAATCAATAAGAAAGGTCAAGGTCTGTTTGAAGAATCTCCCACACCCTGTACATTCATGCCATCACTGTCTGGGATGCTCCCAGGCCTGTGTTGCTGTGTGTCTGCCGAGCGTCTGACCTGGACTTGAGCCTGGAGTCTGAGGGCCGTCTGCAGGATCCCTTCCCTTGCCGCCAGCTCGGCAATCTTCAGTGTGCTGCTTCCACACAGCGCGACCTCAGCCTGCTCTGCCCGCGCCACCATCATTCCCAGCAGTAGCAGCATGTAGTTCAGAGGGGGCTGGTCGGGTAAGCATCAGGGTGAAAGGAAGCTCCTTTATTTAAAATCTGCCCTTGTCTATCCAGCCTCGAGGCCAAGTAGCTCCCCAGGTTTGGAATAATGGAAAGGACCAAAATCTACAGGTAGAAGCAGTCAGCTTCTGCAGCCCTCAAGCAGAGCTGGGAGAAAGGTATAGAGAAGCCTAAATCCCTTCCCAGATTCAGTACTGGGGGTCAGTCAAAAGAAAATGAGATATATTTTTGCTAACAGAAATTTAGTATTAAGTACTAAAAGGTGAAATGTTGGTTATATAATCCAAAAACAGGATACAGACCACATCCAGCAATTCTCCCCAGGAAGCTAAGGGTGATACTTGGAAGTAAATCCAAGTTATGCGTTTCAATCTGTGTGCCTTTGTGGGCAATGAGGGCTGGGGTCAGGATGCTTCTCAGGCTTCCCCACATCCTCCCGACCCCTGGCAGGATGATTCTGCCTTTGTACCCCTTGTGCGTTGCTCTTGGCACAGAAGTTGTCTGCACCAGCATCTGTCAGGTAGACCAAGTGGGTGCGGCCTGGCAGCGGTGGCAGGTTGTGCTTCACAGAGAGGCTCATGGCTGCCTCCAGGGCCTGTCGATACTGGGCCAGCAGCTCAGTGTCGAAGTTGCACTGTCTATCGGGCAGGAAAGAGGCAGACACAGCACTCAGGGCTTCTCTGCCTGCCAGTAAGAGGCAGACAGGAGGATCAGAGCTCGCTGCTCAAGTACTGAGTCTTCTCCTGGCCCCGTCCTCAAGCATAGCTCCATCCTTCCTCAGGCCCTCTGCTCTGCACAGCTGCTTCCTGTTGCCCTGTTCTGCAGCGTCCTCTCTTAGCAGTCTCATGGCAGGAGACGGACTCACTGGGAAAGTCACCTGGAAACCAACTGCCACACTGGGCACGCTAACCCATGCTCACTTCCAGAAGGAAGAACTAATGGTTACCTAGTTTTCTATTCCATTTTAAAGACTAAATGCTGTGCCATCTTTCTTTGAGCACCCACACTCTGCTCTTGAGTATGTCTTATGTGTACTTCTAATAAATGTTTGTCATGCCTCTGTTATAAAAAAAGAATAAACAGTAACTCCTTACTCTAGTCACTTGTACTTGAGATGAAAAAAGAGAACTTTCATTCCACCTTCTCTCTGCAATCATTTACCACAGCCACTAACAGGCTCTAGTTTAGGAGGGCAGTTCATTTACCTTTTCCTGCTAAGAAATATTGGGAAATAATGGAAAACTGACATTCTGCAACTATCAATAAAGCAACTGGTTGAAGAAAGATCCCAAGAAATCAGCCATTACCCACAGTAAGAGATGAGGCTGTCAACCTCCTGAAAGGATTCACCACAGTATCAGTATGGGTTGGGCCATCAAGTGGTTTGTCACATACCCATTGTAGGGAGCGGCATATCTCACTGCTGCCACCTTATCTCGCCCTCCTGTGGGCCTCTGCCTCGTCCGCCTACATTTCCCATGATCTTCACGTCTGCCTACATTACCCATAATCCTCTCCTGCTTATGTCCTTCCGCTTCTGCTAGTTGCCTACGCATAGTTTCCTACTAATCTGATAAGTCCACGTCATATGAGGAGATCTAAACTGACCTATCCTATAAAGCCACATTCCCTTGGACTTTATATAAGCCATGTACACTTTCTGAATAAACGAGACTTGATTGGAACTTTTCATCTTGTCTCCATCTCTCTTTCCTGTTGCCCTGCCCCCCATCCCTGTTCTCTCTCCAGGCAAGACCCACGGATTGATCCGTGGGCCGGATCAAGTGGCACCCAAACATGGGGCCTGGCACAAGAGGTTTCAACACGGGACTGTTCACTGGAGTAAATCACTGTGCAGTGTGACTGATTCAAGGGCTTCGTTCCTGTGATCCGTGCAGACGGCGGCCTTACGTCTTGCCTGAATCACGGTAGGTGAACGGGATTAGCATGGGGCAACCACTTAGTGAGCATGAATTGTTCATGAATGGCCTCAGGGAGGCACTCAAGGTCAGAGGGATTAAGGTTAAAACAAAAGATTTATTACAGTACTTTCAGTTTGTGCATTCTGTGTGCCCATGGTTCCCACTAGAGGGCACCATTGACTCAAAAAGATGGCAAAGAGTAGGAGATGCTCTCAAAGACTATTGTAGAGTTTTTGGTCCAGAAAATGTTCCGGTAACTTCTTTTGCACATTGGACTTTAATTTCTGAGCTGCTGACGCAACGTCACGCAGATCCCCAGATTGCAGAGATGCTTGCTCAGGGTGAGGCTGCATTATCTGCCTCCTGCAGTTGTACCCCACACCCACCGGACTTATCCAAGGCACCTAGCTCTCCCGGCTCTGTGGTTCCTGATATTCCAGAGCCCCCTCAAGATGGCAGCTTCACCCCTCCAGAGACTCCCAAAATGGCAACTTGCCGTCACTTCCCCTTTCTAGAGCACATGGGGATACTCAAAATAGCGCTGCTATTCAAAGTGGCTTCCAGCACTCCTTAGGGCTTAGCACCACCACACCCCCTCTGTTATGTAGGCCTATGTACCCTGACCTTTCTAAGCTCCAAGGGGTTGATTGGTTGCAATAGGCAGAAGAGGCTGTGCGATATCAGGGTGAGAAACTCCCTTTTGCAGTCCCTGTGCTATCCATCGATCCCAAATTAATGACTAAAATACTGACAAGAAAACCAGATAACACCCAGCCTGGCTTCCAAAAGCTGCCTGGTCCACCTCCTGATCTCCTTGCTTTAGAAACAGAAATTCATTATTTACAACAGCGGCTCCAATTGAAACAGGAGAAATAGAGACTCTTTTGCAACTCCAGTCGTTAGATGTAGGCTTTCATCCCTTCTCAGACACACCAACAATGATGTTCCCGGTAACAGAAACAACTCACCCACCAAAAAAAGACACCTTAAAAATGGTGCCTCATTTAATGTTTCCAGTAACAGAAATTGCCCAGACTGCCACAGTGGATATCAGTCCATGAGATGGCGGGGAGACAATTCAACCCGCCCAAGATGGCGCTGGTCCACCAAATGGCAGGAACAAAACAGTTAAGGAAAGAGGGAGACAAAAGGGATGAACTAAATGTGAGGATCAGTCCCCAAGTCAGGAAAGCAGAAGGGACAAAACACGGGCTACTACAACAACTAGGAGAGATAGACAGCCACCACGTCTACAGAGGTGGGAAATAGAAATTGATGATAGCGAGGAAGAAAATGACTCTGACATACATGATAGCGATACAGAAACAGACCCTCCAGGGCCACGGGCTTACAGGGCCCACACACTGTTCCCTGTAACTGCCCTGAAAGATTTAAAAACAGCAGTATCCCAATATGGCCCCACGGCAGCCTTCACCCTTGTGGTTTTAGACTCCTTAACCCAAGGTTGGATTACACCTAATGATTGGAGAGATCTAACTAGAGCTACACTCTCAGGGGGCAATTATCTGCTCTGGAAAGCAGAATTCCAAGGCTAATGTGAGCTTTTGGCTAAAGATAATGCTAACAGGAAAAATCATTATACTCTTCCCATGCTAACAGGAACAGGCCAATATACAACGCAACAAGCCCAAATGCGATATGAGGTAGGCCTTTTTGCTCAGATCACCTTGGCAGCAACTAAAGCATGGAAAAAACTCCCTTCTGGTGGAGTTGCTTCTTCTCTTACTAAAATTAAACAAAAACCCAAGGAGCCTTTCTGTGATTTTGTTGATTGCCTCTTACAGGCAATTGAGCGTCTTTTTGGCACCTCTTAGGACAACCCTGACCTAGTTAAACAATTGGCGTATGAAAATGCAAATTCTGCCCGCCAGGCCACAATCAAACCATATAGAAAAAGAGAAGATCTCTCAGGATATATTTGCTTGTGCACCCATATAAGCCCTGCCCATCATCAAGCTCAGGTCATAGCTGCAAGTACGGCTGCAGCTGTAAAAGAGATCCTCCTTGCATATAAGCAAGGTGGAAAAACAAATAATGGCAAATGTTTTAAATGTGACCAGATGGGCCATTTTGCCAGAGACTGTCCAACAGCTCCAAAGTCTCAACACAATAACTCAAGACCAAAACCTACAAGCTTATGCCCAAAATGCAGAGGGGATATCATTGGGCTAATGAATGCAGGTCAAACACAGATGCAGATGGCAATCCCCTTCCCCAGCAGGGAAATGGGATTCGGGGTCAGCCCAGACCCCCAACTTGAGACAGACCCCGGGGGCTATAGGGTTTGTCCCACAGCAACAAACAATCCAGCACGAAAGAATCCGTTTCAGACCTCCTCCGCGCCACACCAGGAAGTGCAGGACTGGACCTCTGTTTTGCCTCCAACACAGTATTAGCTCCTGACATGGTTATACAAGCCATCCCTACTGGGTTTTTTGGCCCCCTTCCCAAGGACACATGTGGGTTAGTCCTTGGATGCGGCAGCACAATATTGAAAGGATTACAAGTTGTCCCAGGAATCATAGATAATGACTATACTGGTGAAATTACTGTTATGGCATCCTCTATCTCTGGCCTGGTTTCCATTAGTCAAGGACAATGTATTGCTCAATTGGTGCTATTGCCTTTGGTTCAAACTTCTAACACAGCTGTGGCTTCCTATAGGGGAAATTCTTCCCTTGGGTCTTCAGATATATATTGGGCTCAATTTATTTCCAAAGATAAACCCCTTATGGCTTTGTTGCTCAATGGGAAAAGTTTCTCAGGGCTCATAGATACAGGTGCTGATGTGACTGGTCTCCCACATGGCCCCTAGAGATCACTATGACTCATCTGCAAGGGATTGGACAATTTAAAAATCCACAGCATAGTGCCAATCTACTTACCTGGAAAGATAAAGAAAACAACCAAGGGCACATACAGCCCTATATTGTGGAAGGGCTACCCCTTAATTTGTGGGGTAGAGATTTGCTGACCCAAATGGGAATGATGACGGGCAGCCCTAATACTATAGTCATCAAACAAATACTTGCTCAGGGATTCCTTCCTAAGCAAGGCCTAGGTAAACAAAGTTCAGGTATTAAAGTCCCTATTTCCCCAACCCCAAACCCTTCAAGAGCAGGCTTAGGCCATTTTCAATAGGGGTCATTGATGTTCCTGAGGCCCATGCCAAAGAAATTATGTGGTTAATCAGATGCCCCTGTTTGGGTCAGTCAGTGGCCCCTTACATCTGAAAAGCTTGCAGCTGCTCAACAGCTGGTGCAGGACCAGCTAAATGCAGGCCACATTGTACAAAGTGATTCCCCCTGGAATATGCCCATTTTTGTAATTAAAAAGAAGTCAGGAAAATGCAGGTTATATCAAGACCTCAGAGCGATAAACAAAACCATGGTTATAATGGGACCATTACAGCCAGGACTTCCTTCACCCAGTGCCGTTCCTTTAGGATTTTTCAAAATTGTCATAGATCTCAAAGACTGTTTCTTCTCAATTCCCCTACATCCACAAGATCAAAAACGCTTTGCCTTTAGTCCCCCATCCATTAATTTTCAGGCTCCTATGCAGAGGTTTCAATGGTGTGTCCTCCCTCAAGGGATGGCCAACTCTCCTACTTTATGTCAGGCTTTTGTGGCCACTGTCATACAGCCAATTAGAAGTCATTGGCCAAACATATACATCCTTCATTATATGGATGATATCCTCTTGGCAGGAAAAAATAAAGACCAGACCTTACAATATTATCAGGCACTACAGGCTGCCTTACAAGAGGCTGGACTCCAAATAGTGCCAGATAAAGTCCAGCTTACAGACCCATACATATATTTGGGTTTCCAGCTACAGGGCACTCAAATATATTCACCAAAGCCCCAACTAAGACTTGACAACCTTAAGACACTTAATGATTTTCAAAAGCTTCTGGGTGACATTAATTGGCTTTTACCCTATTTAAAATTGACCAAATATGATCTACAACCCCTCTATGGGATCCTCCGAGGAGACAGTGACCCAACTTCCCCCCGAGAGCTCACACCCGATGCTAGAATAACACTCCACACAGTGGAAGAGGCTATCGCCCAACAAACTGTCTCCTTCATAGATTATAATAAGCCACTACAATTTCTCATTTTTAACACAAAACTCTCTCCCACTGCAGCTTTTTGGCAGCAAGCTCTCCTTATGTGGCTTCATCTGCCAGACTCCCTAAAGAGAGTACTATTGCCTTACTACCAAGCCGTCTCTGACCTGATAATTCAAGGCAGAAAGCTAGGAAAATGTTATTTTGGAAAAGAACCGGATGTCATCATTCAACCCTTCACCAAAGATCAGGTAGACTGGCTGCTCCAGACCACTGAGGCATGGCCTATTGCTTTAGCTTCCTTCTCAGGGACCATTGATAATCATTACCCTCCAAATAAATTGACTGATTTTGCTAACTGTCACTCGTTCATATTCCCCAAGATTACAGCTCCACAACCTCTTCCTGATGCCCCAGTGTTATTCACTGATGGTTTCCTCTTCCGGCAGAGCTGCTTATGTAGCACAAAATAGTGTTTTTACCCTACAGACAGATACATCATCCACGCAGCTGGCAGAACTACAGGCTATCCTTGCAGTTTTTACTGCTTACCCCGACCAACCCTTCAATTTGTTTACTGATAGTGCCTACCTCGCTCAGTCTGTTCCATTATTAGAAACTGTTGCCTCCATAAGTCATGTCTCCCCAGCTGAGCTCTGCAGAGAGACTCCACCTCAAAACAGAAAGGAAGTGACAGAAGCAGCCCCACTTCTTTGGCAGCAGGCTCACTCTAAGGGGCTCACTGTATACCGCGTGCTGGAGCCGCTGGAGGATGAGCTCGTGGTGGGCAGCGCTGATTCCCACCCGCAGCAGGTTGCGCAGGTTCAGCAGCATGGCCATGAAGGGAAGCTTCCCGCTGTCTGCAGGAGGTGGGCACAAGGCGAGGAGAGCACAGGAAGGAAGAGAAAGAGGTCAGAGTCCAGGGCAAGAGGTCCAAGGAAAGTGCAAGGTGGAGAGCGTGAGGGACTCACAGCATGATATACTCCACCCAAATGGACAAGGATGAAACCAGGATGGGCTTGAAATGTGGAGCAAAATTGTTCATGGGACAGCAGAGTCAGTAAGTCTTGGCACCACGGTAACTGTGGGCTCTGGCCCTGAGATGGGGTTCAACTGGTGTTCTATAGTTTACAGCAATGGCTTCCAAACCTGCCAGATGGTTAAAAATTTCCTAGTGTGAGTTTATCAATTATGTGTATTTGCAGTGCATTCTTTAGTTAATATTTTGATGCACACTTAAATTACAAAAATGAATATAAATGTATCTCAAATTTTGTTCTTGATATTTTTATATGTTTTGATCAATTTTTTTTCAGGCTTTGTTTCATTTACTTTTGCTTTCATTTCCTAGTATGGGGGGTTGAACCCAAGACTTTCCAACTGAGCCACATTCGGAGCTCTTTAAAAAAAATGTTTTTCAACCTTACATGGTGACACACACCTATGGTACCAGCACTTGAGGCTAAGACAAGATGACTACCTGAAGTTCAAGGCAAGCCTGGGGTATATAGTGAGTCTAAGTACATAGGAAGACCACTTGCCTCTAAAAAAAAAAACAAAAAAAATTTGTTTAGTTTAGGTTACAGGGCTCCACTATCAATCTGCCTAAGCTAAGGTCAAATTTGTAAAACTCTGAGCTTTCTCCATAGTAGGTGGGATTACAGTCATGTGCCAGCTCATTGGACTATTTTTTAACATTTATTTTGGGATTTTCTGAGAGAAGTTCATACTTAAATTCATGATCAACCTGCCTCAGCCTCCCTAGTGCTGGGATTCCAGGCATGCCCCTGCACACCCAGCAACGGAGGCACCTTTTTAAAGGTCATGAAAATCTTACTGCAACTGTAGCTAGAAGCTTTCAAACTTCTGGAAGTTCTGAAATTCCCTGGTCTTTGGTGAATTCTTTGATGGCGATTGATCCCAGGGCCTCATGCATGCTGAGTACTTGTTCTACCACTGACCTACACTCCAACCAGATAACTGCCTTTTCTTTCCCTTTTTCATTTTTGAGACAAGATTTTACTTGTCTCAGATTATCCCAGGCTAATCTCAAACTCCAGGGCTCAAGCTATCCTACCCCCACCTCAGCTCTCTGGATAGCTAGAACTACAGGTGTACAGTATCAGGGCCTTACAATTGTGCATGGCACAATTAAGTTGCACACATACAGTAAGTGATGTTTGGTAACTAAAGAATGTTTGCATATCTTATCAAATTACCTTTATGTTGAATTGATACTTCATTTTTGAGACAGGGTTTTATTATGTAGCTTCCCCTGGGATCTTCCTGCCTGAGCCTCGTGGGTTTTAGGATTATAGGTATATGCTCTGAGGCTCAATAAATGTCATATTAGAGTTTTTTTATGTTGTTGCTGTTAATTTTATTTGTTTTGTTTTTTGAGGCAGTCTTGCTATATAGTGGAGGCCGGCCTTGAACTCACTATGTAGCTCAGCCTGGCCTTGAACTCGTTTCAATCCTGCTGCGTCTGCTGCCCAAGTGCTGGGATTATAGGTATGCTCCACTTTTTCCAGAAAATATCATATTTGTGATGTTAGAAATTAACTTTTGTCATTCAGATTCAGAAATTCACTGATTGTATTTATTATACAACATTACATTTTAGTAAATATTTACTATTGATGAGAACTGTGCTCTTCAAAAAAGGCTCTATGTATTTAATCACAATTTATATTATGCTTTATACTTACATGTATAAAGTTTCATACTTCCTTTCATTCTCATATATTTACTGATTGATAGATGGAGTGGATGAGACAGGGTCTTTCTAGGAGTTCCAACTGGTGTTGAACACACTGTGTAGCCATGCTGGCCTCAACTTGCAGTGATCTTTCTGCCTCAGCCCCCAGAGTGCTCAGTTGACAGACACAAAGTTGGCCCTCATTTATATTTATCTTTATAACTAGATATATATGTTCTATAGTACATTTTATACATTTTCTAAACTTTCTAAATATTTGTAGAAGACTATAAATTTTAAAGATACACACATATATATTCTGAAGTATTCCAAAAATCATTTTGTCCAAGTAAGATAGAAAAATATGAACTGGGTGTGGTGCTACATGTCTGTAATTCTAGCATTCTGGGAGGCTGAGACAATACGATCAAAAGTTGAATCCATGGGATGGGGATTTAGCTCAGTGGCATAAGTGCCTGCCTTGTAAGCACATGGTCATGAGTTCGATTCCCCCACCAAAAAGAAAAAAAAAGCTGGATCTAAGCCAGGCCACCTCAGCATTCTGGAAGGCTGAGGCAGAAGGATTAAAAGTTTGAGTCTAGACAACCTGGCAACTTGAAGAGACTCTGTCACAAAATAAAACATAAGAGATGGAGATACACTTTGGAACAAAGGCCCTGGGCTGAATCCTCCATGAAACCAAAATGAAATAATTGAGTAGAGACCACGGGATTAGTCTGGGGCATCTGCCTCAGCCAAGACAATGACCAATGACAGGCTCCATTGCAGGGTCAGTGTTTTCTCAGCCACAGGGCAGAGGGAGGACAGTGCACACAGAAGCATCCAGTGACACCAGAGTCCCGGGCACCTTTATCTTGCTCACTTAAGCTGTTCCCACTGCTGGATGTGTATGTACGTGCACATACATGCATGTGTACACCTCTCTGCATGTGCTCCAGCTCCCAGTATTCTGATATACACACACCATCAGTGACATCCAGGAGGAGAGACTGACACGGTGGCACAGTTTGGTTGTCCCGAGTACAATGCACAGTGTGCAGCTCACAGAGGAATAAGGCAGAAGACCTCTGGGCTTTCATGTTCCAAACAGGGCATCTACACAACCCACTCCGAAGGGTCACAGGTACGTATTTTTCACCAAAGAGCAACTGACTTTCAAACTGTAGAGAAGAAAGAGGAAGCGAAGGGAACAAAACAGAGGCAGGCCTTATCAGTGTGGAAACAGAATGTTCTAGAGTCAAAAATGAGTAACTGCTTGGGAGGCTCAGTTCAAGGTCAGGCTGGGTGACATAGCAAGACTCTATCTAAAAAAAAACCCCCAAAAATAAAGAGCTGAGTGGGTGGCATAGGCCTGTGATCTCAACTAATAAGGAGGTTGAGGCAGAAAGGTCACAAGTTTGAGACCAACCCAGATAGCTTAGCAAGTCCCTGTCTCAAAATAAAATACAAAGAGCTTGGACATGCTGTGCAGGCTCATGGGATGTAGCTCAGTGTTACAGCACTTCCCCAGTACTACAGAGACAAATAGCATAAAAAATGAATATTAGAAAGAGAACAAAGAATTTAACTATTTTTTATCAGTGTGTTCAAACTTTTTTCTTTAAAAAATTTTTTGTTATTAGTACCTGGTGCTAGTGCATAATGTTTACATTTCTTGTGGGGAATTGTTTCTGGTATATACTATATTTACCCAAAACATCTACTTCCTTAATACAAGATTCTGGAGAGATTCTAATGTAGTAAGAGCCAGACCTACCTTGTTCAGAAGGTAGATACTGAACCACAGAAGCACAGGGCTACCGCTTTTGTGATAGGTAGGTACAGTCTTGCCTGCCGTTCTCCTCACCTTGAATACTGATTTATCTATGACGCCAACACACTCAAAACACTGTGCACCACTGTGCCCACTGAATGGGCATCTACAACCTTATAAACCAAATCACCTGCGGTGGTGCAGCTACCAGGCAAGAGAGCAACTGCACCTTGCCACAGAGATATCAGGGTCTGCAATGTGGAGGCAAGAATGGAGAAAAGAGGAAAGAACCGTGATGCTCAAGGCCACCCACCAATGAGCTCCTCCCAGACGGAAGCTTTGTTCCCCTGAAGGCTCAGCGCCCGATCCCAGGTCTCTGGTCTCGGCAGCTTCATGCGTTTCCCGGCTCTGCTTGAGTCCCAGGGCCCAGGGAGGCGACTCCGAGAAAAGAGCTGGAGGCTGGAGGGGTACCTGGGACAGAGGAGAGAGAGCCCGTCATTTCAAAGCAGAAGACAGAAAAGGAAGGGTGAACTGGTCAAAGCCATCTGTCAGTCATGGGTACAGCCCGTCTGCCCAGACTGCTTGTTGAGCACAACCAGGACAGAGGCCATGAATCTGAGTTGGATGGCATCACCTCAGGGGAATGCGGGCTCACCGTGGATCTGCTCACCTGTAGCCCAGCAGGGCTTGGACGTGCTGTGCCGGCTCATGGATATGCAGCCTCTGTACCAACTTCTTCAGGGTGAACTGTGACTGATTCTTTTTCTCTGCCTCAAACTGTAGAAATATCCCAAGTCCCAAGGGTCACGATCTTGGACCTTCTGCAGAAAGCAGAACCTGAGACCACCCCTAGACCTATCAGGCCATCTCCTTCCCTAAATTAGACTTTGACAGAGGGTAAAAATCTCTGGCATTAAGAGCTCCCCTGATGAGTAAGACAGCAGCTCACAAGCACAGGCAGTGGCAGAAATGCATCCTCGCTACTCAGGAGGCTAAAGCAAGATCACTGCTTGACCCAAGAGTTGGAGGCCAACCTGGGCAGCATGGTTAGACCTTGTCTCAAAAGAAAAAACTCCTAGGAAGCCTGGGGGCCAGCACAGCAGGAGGGACCTGCCTAGCATGCATAAAGGGAAGAGCAGCTTTATTTAAATCACTGAGGCCCTGTTCAGATAAACCGAGCAGCAGCACAATGCATGCGGGGAAGGATAAAAGGCTGAGAGAATTTTCTATGATAGGAGAGCCAAGTTTGGGCTTCATTAATAGGATGAAGAAAAAAGACCAGCCGACTAACTGAAAATGTGATTTTTCCTATAATACTAAAATTTATTTTACAACAAATGTATCTCACTAATAATAATAATGGCTTATACTTTTAAAATGTCAAATATTAATAGATATATATTAACTACTTGATTTAATCTTCACAACCCAACAATTTAGTTTCTGATAGTTAAAACTCGTAAGGTAAGAGTCATTCAATCATTTGACCAAGGACTGAATGCCAGCGGTGGAGACTCAAATCCAGGTTATATGAGTCCAGATTCTATGCTGTCACCTGTGAGGTAAAGACTTACTTGTCTTAATGGTAAAAAGATTTTCTTTGCTTTTAAAATTTCCTAAGAAAGGAAACTATTTTACATTGCTTTTAACTCATTTATCCCACTAAACATGTCACTGGTCAGTAAAATCCAGAAAACCTGTACATATGCAGCCCCGGGACAAGGGACTCACCTTAACCTGCACTTTTCTAATAGGACACAGGTACCTTGGAAAAATTATTCTCTTAGAAGGCCGAGGCTCCTGTGGGGAGAGGAGAAGCATTTTCACACAGGGAAATGGAGTCTGTCTGTGGGGAAACCCTTGCAATGCCCTCAAGGCCCCTCTCTGACAGGAAGGAAGCCACCTGGGAAAAAGGCCCGCACTGCCCCTGCAGCCCCGCACTCCTCCCAGCATTCTTGGACCTCTCAGCTCCTGCCTGAGGAACATCAAAAGCTTGGTGTAGAACCTCGGGAGCACCATGGTCCTACGTGGCTCCCTTCCCAGAGGAGGGCCTGGGCCATTAGTGAGCAGGGATGAGGCAGGGACTGACTGGAGGGCGCGGTGGTCGGCGGGGGCGACTCTTGGCACGGTGCTTCCGCAGATTGTACTTAGCCAGTTGGTACTCATCGAACTGAGCAAATTTATCAGTCATGGCAGCCCGGAGGCAGGCAGGCAGCGGCACCAGCTTGCTGTCCTCTCCTTTAGCCAATTCCTGTCAGAGAGAGAGGCAGAGAAAGAGAGATCATCAGAAGTGAGACCCAGTGAGGTTCTAAAAGAAAATTAAAACATGGGGTTCCTCAAAACTACAGAAATGTATCAAGCTCCTATCTCTACTTGTAAAATCGCCGTTTCTGGTCAGGTCTGGTAGCACCCCTATAATCTCAGCATTTTGGAAGGCTGAAGCAGGAGGGTCATAAGTTTGAGTCCACCTTGGACAACTCTGTTAAGACTCTGACAAAATTAAATTTTAAATTAAAAAGTCTTGGTGCCAAGCCGGGTATGCAGACACCCGCCTCTAATTCCAGCACTCTAGGAGCCTGAGGGGGGAAGATCACAAGTTCAAAAATCAGTCTGGGCAACTAAATAACTTTGAGAGACAGTGTTTCAACATGGTCTGAAAGGTGCTAGGGATGTAGCGCAGTGCAAAGGCCCTGGGTTCACAAGAAGAAGACAGCTACGGATCTATGAGAGGCATTCAGCAGGGGTGTCCCCAGGAAAAAGAAAAATTTTTTCCAAGGAAAAGTCAGTCACCAGCGGGCATGAGGAAGAAGCTTCCAGCAAGGGCAATGCCAAGAACAAGGAGGAAGAGGCAATTTCCCCACCCTCTTGGTAAATGCCCCTGGTGCCAGCCAGGAGGAAAAACAGTCAGCTGTGCCTTTGAGTTACAGGAGAAGATAGGAAAGGAGAGGAAAAAACAAATCTCCTTGGCCCTTGGCAGGGCAGCAATGTTCTCCGATCTCCATTTTCCTCATTGTAAACACAAGGTCCGGGCTAAGAATCAAATATCCCCACCCTGCCCTGTCAGCAACTGGGGACAGAGTTCTGAGCATCTCTTGGGAGGATGGCCATATGCAATATAGCAAATATGGGGGATTTCCCTCTATCTACTGTTTGAAGGCAAAGGTTGTTTTCACTGTTTTGTTTTGTTATGTTTGTTTTGCTCTATTCAACATTCTCTTTCAATTGGTTTTATAATGTTCTGCTTTTGGTTTGATTTCATTATACCTAATTGACTGGACAACTATTGTGAAGATAACGAGATATAGTATAGTACCTATTACTACCATCCCAGTATCCTACTGTGAAATTCTGTACTAATGTCACTACATTGTCTCAATTGGCTTTGTTCTGTCTTGTTTGTTGTATTTTTACTGCATTCAAAATAAAATAAAAAAAAGATTAAGAGGGAAAAGCTCTAAAAAGCATCCCAGGAAGGTTACAAGGAATATCCCCTGGGGGTAGGAGCAGGGTGCCCCAAGGTAACATTTCCCATCCAACACTCTAAATCCTAGTCCATTAAAAAAAACAAGTCTTGGATCCATTTCCAAGTAACACACACACTACACATGCATACTCACATGCAAGCACAGAAAAGAGAACATAAGAGAAACGAGGAGCAGAGTAGAGAGGAAAAGAGAGAAGATAGGAGAGGAGAAAAACAAATCTCCGGAGGACAAATCTCTGGAGGACACCAGCAGCTTGTTACTTTGCTGTGCTTGCTTAAGTTTTTCTTGTGTTTTTTTCTCCCCTGGCCTCTGCGTCCCACGTAAGGCTTTTCCTCCTGCAACATTCACTTTATCTATAGGAAATTTTGTTCCCTTCCTTCTTTTACATCTGTTCAAACTGGTTCAAGGAGCATCTTTAATTTAATTTGCTGTCTGTGCGCTCCCCCCCATTAAAAATAAGGGACTCTTAATTGATGCCAAAGTTTCTTTAGATATGCAGAGAATTAAAAGGAAGCAGCAAAAGTCAGCGCAATGTCTTGCATCCAGGTGCAACCATCACGGGCACTAGAGTGAGCTGAAGGGTGCGCCCTGTGCTCCTGAGTTTGAGAAGAGATCTATGGATTGCATGGCCTCTCCAGCCCCGGAGACTGGGCCCAGGTGAGTGCATGACAAGCATCTCTGTGCACCAAAGTGAGGTGTTGGGTTAATCGTCAGCCTTGCCAAAGCAATGAATTAAATGGCCAACACGGGCTAGTGTCCCAGAAGATGGAACCAGGTTCCTACAAGACAAATGGCCCTTAGGGTGATAATCCTAGTGCTGTTTCATAAAGAGCGGGACCAGGCAGTAGCAGAGCTTGGCTTTCCTCCTCTGTGTCTTCTGGAAACTACCACTGCTTTCCTCAGGGGACACCCTTGAGACTCAGGTGGGAAACTGAGTCCTCCCTCAGATTCCACCAGCCCCATCAGTCCCTTTGGTGGATTACAAGTTTGATCCTCCAAGAATTCACATATTGAAATGGCAATCATGTGATAGTGTCCTAGGAGGCAGTGAGGACATGAGGGTGAAGCCCTCATGAAAGGATTAGTGGTCTCATAAGGACAGAGCTGGTTATCTAGCTCTCTTTCTGCCTCTGCTTGAGAGCATGCAGTAAGTTAGCCATCTGAACCTAGAAGAGGGCCCTCACCAAAACCAGACCACACCGGTATCCTGATCTCAGGTTTCAGCTTCCAGGGTTGTGAGAAATAAGTTTGTTAGTAAGCCAGTCATTGGTAATTTGTTCAGTAACCTAAACTAGGATGCACCCTTGTGACAAGAAATGTTTTCTGCTCCGTTTCTCAGGCTGAAAGATGATCCTAAAATAACTCCACACACAATTTTAATTGGTTTTTTAGACAGGGTCTTGTAATCCAAGCAGGCCTTGGACACTGTGTAGCCTGGGCTGTCCTGGAAGTTGTGTCAATCCTCCTGTTGCAGCGTCTGACTTTCAGGATTACAGACTTGTGTCCCCATGCCCAGCTTTTTTGTTGTCCTGCCTTTAACTGGCCCACACTATCTGCAGAGCATGTTTCTTTTCCTACCTTGAATAATTGTAAAACCTCACTATGTTTTAATACTTGTTTTGTCCAATTCTTTGTTCAGGACAAGAAGAACCTAGAAAGCAACTTTAGAAAGAGTCCTCCATTATAAAAAATCTGGCAACAAAAGGGATTTGCATTTCACAACTGAATTGCATATATATGTTATGGGTTTGTCCTCCTTCATTCTGACTTAGTAAAGATCTGTTCAACAACTGTCAGGGGAGGGGATAGTGCTAACACCTGTGAAAAGTATGTAAAACAGGCCTTTTTCTAAAAGACCTTTTTCTAAAAGACCCGTCTACAGAGACAGTTACATGCAGAAGCCAGAAAATGCAAGGCAAATCAGGAAAAGTGCTGTATTAGACTGAGGAGCAAACCACAGGTCATGTGGGTGGGGAGAAGGACTCGAGCAACAGGGAAGGCAAGCTTCTGATGGGAAGCTTAGTAAGGAGTGATCAGTGGGAGTAGAAGAGCCATTAGGCTCACGTGTTTCCCCCCTTTTTAAATACCTTCCTTTCGATTTACCCTGTATGTGTATGTTTAAGCTAATCACCAACCATAGAGCATCATGGAAGTGGTGAAACATGGACAAGCACTTGCTCAGTTACCATGGCACCCTGGACAAGGCCTCCCAGGCCCTTTGAAAGCAGCTGAAATGAATCAGCAAATTACAAGACCATCAGGGGTTTTTGTCTTTGACTCCTCTGACTCAAAACAATGAAGCATTTGGTTTTTGTTCTGTTGACTTTTCCCATCATATTTCTTTATCTTCCTTCAAGGAGATTCCCCACTGACTGGTCTTTCTTATTAGTACCGTGTATATAAAGGAGGCCATTAAAGCCGTTTCTCTTCTCTTTTTTTTTTTAATTTTATTCAAGGAGAAAAAGAAAAAAAAGCAGTCAAATCAAAAGAGTGGACATAATAGATAATGTAAAAACAATACAAGGTGATCAACAATGGTTACCATAAGGCCTCTTGCTATCTTAAAAAGAATTGCCTATATCATCAGTTATAATAAAATTGAACAAAACAGTAAAGACCGAAACCAACAAAACCAAAACACTGGAGACATTACAGGTCTTCTGAGAAGTCAAATCTGATGCCTTATTTCCTGCATCCAAGCTACACTGGTGACTTACTTGACAGATTTGTACAAAGTACTACATGAGGGGCTGGGGATTTAGCTCAGCGGCATAAGCACCTGCCTTGCAAGCAGGTGGTCGTGAGTTTGATCCCCAGTACCGATAAAAAAAAAAAAAACCAACAAAACTAACAAAGTACCAGATGTGCCCTCCACATAAGCCCAACTGTGAACTGAAGCTCACCGTGGAACAGCTATCAGTGGCACAGAGAACACAAGAAGCATGGAATGCACTGCGGGCAAACCTTTTAGAGCTCTCAGTGATAACAATACCCTAACAATATCCCGGATGTGGTAGAAGAGTCGAGGGATTGCCACTACTGAACTAGTGGAACCCTGCTTCAAACTTGGTGAAGCAATAACTCATGGAGCAGTGCTCCTTAGGTTTTGGTAATGCATGCTCAACAATGGTCAAAAAATATTAGATACTAAGTTCCAGAAACAAGAGATTATCCAGCACTTGGGAGGCTGACGTGAGAGGATCGTTGCAAGTTCGAGACCAGCCTGGGCTATGAAGTGAGCTCTAGGGAAGCCTGAACTGCATAGTGAGACCTAGTCACAAAAAAGACAAACAAAAAGATTACTGAGTTTTAAATTACGTTTACCATATTGTTACATTTTTATTTTTTGAAAGTAGGTCTTGCTATTAGATCAAGCTAAATTTGAACTCACTACGTAGCCCAGGCAGGCCTTGAGTTTGCAGCAATCCTGCTGTCTCAACCTCCCAAGTGCTGGGACAACACCCGGTACCACCACGGCAGTAATTGTTTTACTTCACAACTAGTTGTAGTTAATCTCGTACTATGCCTACTTAGAAATGAAACTTTATCACAAGTAACTACTGTATATATCGGAAATAACAGTGTATGTAAAATTAAATAATGTTTCAGATTTGAGGCATCTTCTAGGGCTTCTGACATGTATTTCCTATAATGAGAAGACTATGATATTAAAATGGTGATTTTAGCCAAGCATGGTAGCACATACCTGTAATTGCAGCACTCAGGAGGCTGAGGCAGGAAGATCACATTGATTTCAAGGTCAGCTGCCTTACGTA